AGAGGTACACTGCCAACGTCATCCGTTATTTCCCCACCCAGGCTCTCAACTTCGCCTTCCGTGATACCTACAAGTCCATGTTCGCCTTCAAGAAGGAGCGCGACGGTTATGCCAAGTGGATGATGGGTAACCTTGCCTCTGGTGGTGTAAGTGCTACGCTTTTCCCATTATCAGGTGAACGAAACCACTGATGCGATTTGTATAGGCTGCTGGTGCCACTTCGCTCCTCTTCGTCTACTCCCTCGACTATGCCCGTACCCGTCTTGCCAACGACGCCAAGTCCGCTAAGAAGGGTGGTGAGCGTCAATTCAACGGTTTGGTCGATGTCTACAAGAAGACTCTTGCTTCTGATGGTATTGCCGGTCTCTACCGTGGTTTCGGTCCTTCCGTTCTTGGTATCGTCGTTTACCGTGGTCTGTACTTCGGTATGTACGACTCCATCAAACCGGTCCTCCTCGTTGGTCCTCTTGAGGGCAGCTTCCTCGCATCCTTCTTGCTCGGCTGGACTGTTACCACTGGTGCTGGTATTGCTTCTTATCCTCTCGACACTATCCGTCGTCGTATGATGATGACTTCTGGTGAGGTAAGTATCAGATCGCCTTCCTTGCTCCATTACCTCAAATCCTAACTCTCTTCCTACAGGCCGTCAAGTACGCTTCCTCCTTTGATGCCGCTCGTCAAATTGCCGCCAAGGAAGGTGTCCGCTCCTTCTTCAAGGGTGCTGGCGCTAACATCCTCCGTGGTGTTGCTGGTGCTGGTGTGCTCTCCATCTATGACCAGGTCCAGCTTCTCTTGTTCGGCAAGGCCTTCAAGGGTGGCTCTGGCTAAATCATTAACAGCTCGCTGTTAAGGGTGTGTCAGAGGTGATGATTGAGGCGTGTCAAAGCAGGAGTGGAGGAGAGGTTAGATGTGCGTCAAAAGAAATGGTTAATTCTGGAGCATAGAGCAATCAGGGTCGTTTTCACCTTCTTGCCTGCCTGTACTTTACTGCCTGCGAACTTATTTTTTTTCCCCTGTTCTATAACTTTCCATGTGCGCAATGTGTTCACTCTCATTTCTCTAATGTACTGGCTGGATAGAAAATGCGATTGTGACTGCTTCAATTGTTGACATCTCTTTGGTACCAGCATGTTCTAGAGGATAGACTGGGTCACGTGGCCATACATTTCGCCGCGAACCCAGGGCCATGGGCTATCAAGCCATCGCAATTATAATTCACTCCCAGAACGATTTGGAATTCTCTAAACCCACACTTTTCACGAGACTGTTCTTCGAATAGTTCCATGACTATATTCATATCCGGACTGCTTGAGCCATGGAGATCGAACAAAGTAAAATGCAGGCAACAGGAACAAGCATTGAAACAGACAGAACATCCAATATTTCAGAGGCAATCCAAAGCAAGGCCGAAAGCGCGAAGCACCGATTATCAGTGGAAGAACCCACAGTGACTGCAGACAGCACAGAAGATATTGGTTCTTCCAATAACCAGCCTGATATAGCACACCCCAATCCAGAAACACGAGAAGAACAAAAACAACACACCAGACCCAAGGGTAGTGACATTGTTGCTCCTCCATATCCAGAACTACAATTAAACCCCACAGATCGCTACCTCCCAAACCCGCAACCCCCTCCCTCCGACGCATCCATACGCCAATCCAAGCTCTCCAAACCAGCACCGCACAGCCTCGAGCATCCGCCAGGCTACATGCAAAACGCCGCCGCCATCTCCCAACCCCCTCCTCCTCCTCCTCCTCCGCCGCCGACCACAACAACAATCCCCAGCACCGCGGGACACTGGACCTGGTCCGATTCCCCCAACCTCTCGGGCGGGAGATATGTCTACTCTTCCTCTCCCCCCTCCCCCACGGCGTCACCATATCCGGGGACGAACGCGGCGACGACGGCGGCGTCGCAGGCTGCGCATCGGTATGACATATCTGCAAACGATCAGTGGGGAGATGGCGGCGACGATTGGGGTGTTGGATGGGTGTGGGAGGGGGCGAAGAATTGGGGGATGGCGGTGGGAAATCGGCTGGTTGAGGCGGAGGAAGGGGTTTGGAGGTGGGTGAATCGGAGGACGTGATGGGGAGGGGGGGAGTGATGGGCAAAGTTGGGAAATCTATGTAGGTTTTTTGTGCTGTACTATTATATATTTTATCTGGAGCAAAGGTGATATTTGAATCTTTGTATTGCTCCGCATACAAAATGTGAGCAAAAAAGATTCGGGGAGATATAAATGATCAACGCAGGGTTCGAACCTGCGATCTTCCGCGATTTGTTTGTAAAGCGGACGCCTTGACCACTGGGCCAGTCGATCATTTTTGGTCTAAGATTTTGAAAAACCTTTACTCTTAACCTTGAGTGATAATGCGGCCCCTTTTCGAATGTAGGATATCATATGGCTTCATCTTTCTGGCTTAATCCATGCGGCACTTTGAACATGTGCCCGACACCTTCACAGCGGTGCGGTTTACCCAACCACTAACTAATAGTTACTTTGGGGGCATCCACTTGATGAGAAAGCTTTCATATCGGTGCATCATCTTCATAAGGACTGTCCGACTTCAGTACATACAGCTAAGAAGACCAAAGCGATGTAGTCACAAAAAGGAATACAAAGAAGACGCAACGGCAGAAACCATAGACAAGAAATAGGGAGAGCATGATAGAGCGGACACACGAAGTTGCGGGCCACCTAGTACAATACAATCAAGATGACCAAGGGCGTCAGAACATATACATATGCCTCACTCTACCCCAATCTCAATCGCTCCCCGGTTTCGCCAGCAAACCAATTATGGGGGTCACAGGTCGACCGTCCCGGAATAATACCGATGCCAGGGGAAACATGCAATTAAAGGAAATATCGACTGCCTCAGCAAAAGTTCCAATGAACAAAATGGCCAGCAAGGCTGTTGAGAGCGCTCCAAGAAGGGGCCAAATGATCCACGGCTGGATATCAAGGGAAAAGATCATTAAAATAGAGGTAAGAATTTGCAATCAATGCTCGCTCAAATCAAAAAATGCAGGTTTGCCCTGTTGCTGGAGTGGAGAGCGGTTGGGGGACATAACTTCATATCCACAAAGGAAAGGGAATCTGGGCATAAGTCAAGAGTTGGACTGGAAATCTTCGTCAAAATTTCGTCTTTCGAATCCCAAAGAAAAGAAATTGATAGTCGCTGGGGGTATGTATAATAAAGCGATATAGTATAAAAACACAACGCCATTATGCTGTAATTATATATTGATTTCTTGTTCGTTCCAATCATTTCCCACTAGTCTTTTGATTTCGTGGGAAGATATTTGTCGTGAGCCGAATCGTAACGGACTGGTTCTCCGTCTTATCGAGAGGAAAATGGCGAGGAAGGTAGGAAAGCGTGGGTGCTGCAATGCCAATTTGTTGCAGATAGTATTCGGGCCAGCCAAAATCCACGAGCAAACCACATGACTCGTTGAACCCAAGGAAAGCGAAAAACCTCGACGCCGAATGCCCAATGTTACATTGACCCCATTTGCAAAAGTGCTTCGACAGCGGCGCGCTCCTCGAAACTGCCATCAATGCCGTCTGGTGAAGGAGAATTGTTATTGTGTATGTGAATCGGACCGGGTGCGGATTTGGTGAGCGTGGACCACGCCGGTCCTCCACCTAGGCCGCCTTTGGATCTCATGGCAAGGTAATTATGGGCGTGGTGATTGCCCCCAAAGCCACCGGGAATGAATCTCGCTCTGAGGGCTGCCGCTCCAATCTGCGCCCAATCTTCTTCGTCCGTGGCGTCTGCTTCGTCCCCAGTCGCCGTCCATAAGGGAGTCTTCGTCTGAGGCCTGCGTCGATGAGCAGTAGCCTCGGTCGTCCCCGTCTAGGGACATCTTATCTACTTCGTCTAGCATACTATGCTCGGGGTGGTCGCCATGCTCCCATTCCGAATGCGAGAACACGGCAGAGTTTCCGGCGAATGATGACCCATACCGGTCGTGCTCTTCCTTTATACCCAGACCAGCTGATCCATCGGACTTCCCCCGCGAATGGGAAATATACTTGGCGCACGAAGACGGCGCACCCGCAGGGCGATTTTTGGTGAGACCCTGGCCGCGTCGTCTGGCATCCCATCGTCCCCATCCAACCTTGTCAAACTCGACGTCGCCGTGTACTCCTCCACTTTCACCATTTCCACCTTTGCCTTCCAGGGCGCCCACGACCAATCGCCGGGCCTTTGCTGGAGGAATGGACGAGAATCCCGGCACCGAAGTGGTCAAGTGGCCTATAATATGGCGAATGGCCAAAGGTCCATGGTTCAGCAGAATATCCGGAAGATGGTGCTTCGCGAGCATGGTGGGCGTGATCCCCTCGGTGCTGTCTAGGGAATTCAACGCCTCGAGGACCAATTTGTCCCTGGGTTTGTGGAGGTCGACGGCGTCGTGAAGGTCGATATCCGAGTCGATGTGTTGGGGTACGAATGGGAGCGAATCTGGAGACTTTATAACGCGATGTTTGAAGCCGTGAGGGTGGAGGGCAGGAGAGATGGAGCTGGGCGGCGTCGGCAGCATAGCCGGTTGACCGGGCTGGTGGTCAACACCGGCCCTGCCAGAATAGCGAACATTGCAAGGCTTGGGGATTTCAACCGACGGCGTCTTGCCAGCAAGGGCCGTAGCGATGCTAGACTGAGCTGCTTGGAACGGTGCCATGATTACGGGCTCGAGACTGGAGAGAGGCAAATGTGAGTCAGGGGCCGCGGACACAGATTGCCGGCAGCTGCGACGAAAGCGACGGGAGAGACGGCTCTATCACTCACGTCACTCAGGGCTATCCGCCAGATCGTCTGACTGTTTCGACAGGTGGGAGAGTTGATGATGATTCGAAAGCTGGCCGAGCGTACTCAGACAGCAGCTGCAGAACGATGCGTGTACGTCGCGTGTTCCAGGGGGTTTTATAGCCACGGCAACGCGAAAGAAAAGGGCGTTGGATGGGTTACAGCGCAGGCAGTCAAGAAACAGCAAAGGCGAGCGATCGAGCGGGGGGATTCAAAGAAGAAATATGGATTCCCGATGGTACAGTTCGTTTGTCAGAAAGCGATGGGTGATGGACGGGGCGATGGAGAGCGTGGCCGGGGGGCTGCGTTGACGGACAGCCATTCTCGACGGGCAGGGGGCCACGGCAGGTACCTTGGGGCTTGTACCTCCCCAGACAAAACGGGAGCACAATGACGCCTGCCCAGGTATCCGCCAGGCCCGATGCGGACTAGCCGGGCCGCCAAGCCCCCACGTGACGGGCTGACTGGCTGTATTTTTGCGCTTGGGGACCTGGTACGGTACGGTACCGGCCATACAGAGTACATCTGCGCGACATTTGGTTGTAGCAGTAACTAATAGTCTTCAGACTGTGGGAGGATAAAGGAGATAAAGCCCATTCATGATTGCTAAATGTTCTCTGTCGCGCAACAAAAGGCCTTTGATCATGCAAACTGCACTTGTCGACAGTGCTTGTCTCAGACGCGGTGCAAATGCCGCAGATGCAAGTCTCTGCCAGGTACCTGTGGAGGTGCTCGGTCGCCAACTACGTAACGAATGCTGGATCACGAAAATCGATTGCTCCAGAACTTCCGTCTGGCTGTCGCTGATTCTCCCATGTGCGCTTGCGACTCGCTAACATCGCCCACGAACAGGCAGCACGACCATGGCACCAGCGACTCGTGCTGGCCTCGAGTCGCTGACTGGTGGGCACAAACGAGCTCACTGTGCCATGATGCCCGAATTCTCAGCGCGGAACACCGACGAAGAGCGCACCCCCGCGGCCCTCTTGTTCCTGAGCAAACCGAGAGACAAAAATAAACAAAGTCAAGATCAATGCGTCTTCCCTGGAAGTGGGTTTTGCCCGGTAACTTTTCCAGAGCAAACACCCCTCTGATGCGCCATCCTCGGCATGCCATTCGTCCACGCTGGCAACTCCTGGCCGGCTCGCGTTGACAGCAACTCGTCCATGGGAAGCCAGAAAAGCCTGCGAACCGCGACAGAGCCTTGGATTCCTTTCCGCTCCAAAAGGGCAACCTGAGCCCGGCTGACATGTCCTGCACACCAAGTCAGTTGCCCGGTCACCCTTCCCTCTCAGCCCCCAGCAATCAGCCCGCCTGATCCGATCGTGATGTCGTACCAAGATTGCCATGGAGGGCCGCCAAACAACTAAATTGTGAGCGTGCACCCACCCTCCGTTACATCATGCCTCAGATCCAGGCTGCTTCAGTTCTCTGGCAATTGGAAAACCCCATCTCACAGCCCTACAAGAGACTTGCTGAGCACTCATCACCAATCAACCAACCGCCGCTTCAGAGACTAACAAGGACTACCGCGAACAAGGCAAAGTGTCCGATCCTCACTGGGTCGCTTGCAGTGGTTCTGGGCTGATGGTAAAGGTGATTGGTTATCAAGCCCAAGGCTGAGATGCACACAGTCTCGCGTCACAAAAGACTGGAATGCATATCCTTGGAACACCCTTGATGCCTCAGCCCTTGGACAGAATCCATCACAGCGGATGATACTTTGCATCTAACCATATTATTAATCTATTGTCTCTTGAGTCAGTATCCAACTTTTCTAACCCATGTACACTCGTGATTGTTTTTCCATATTGTTCCCAACTTGTCGTTCTTTGTTTTCAAGGAAACCCCAAATTGATGCATTTCTAGCGTTGCTGAGAAGCATTCTGCACAAGCACACAGATGCATGGTAGTAATCAAAAAGGTAGTAGCATGCGTTACAATGTCACAATCTCCAAGGCGCCAAAATCATAGTCTGATATATGAGCGCAAAGTCCATCCCAGAATCCCAAGCAATCAAAAAAACTTGTTTCTCATCCAGGAGTAAACATGCATGCTGTTGGTCATCTAGCAGACAGGTCAGCAATTCACCAAGTATTGTCGGCTGCATTTGAAAATGGCAAAATGATGTCCCAACTGTTTCAACAATCTTGCAAGACTATTTCTCCTCGGTGTTGACCTTGGGCTTATTGACCCTTTTTCATTCCATCTGCCGTCCTCTAAAACGCCCACCGCCAGCATAGCCGATGGTGGCAGGAGGCAAACAACGCCTGTGATGCAAAATGCATCAGCTGGTTTCAAAACTAGGATCTATACATGTCGAAGCTACTCAATCTTCCACTAGCGGCCGTGGACCAAAACTAGTACACGCTTGCGCGAGATGCGAGTTATCCATTGCGATAAAGCGGTATGATCTGTCTTTGTCAAGAATTCCTTGATTCCGTCGGGGATCTCGTTGAAGAGCCGCGTCTAAAAAGCCAATCGGCCGCAAAGCGCGCGCGGAGAGGGAGCATGCGTTACTCGGCCAACATGTTCAAGCCATAGGTCTGTTTGATCTGGGCTTTGCGGTCAGTCAGCCACTCTTCAAGCTCACGCCAGGTGGGAAACAACTCGTTGGAGAACAAACTGGTGATTATATATCAACGAGCTTTATTCGGCCAAGGTCTTGAAGCAATGGCTACCAACAGTCAAAGTCAATTCTTGCTGGGATCCCTCGCAGCATCCGAGTGCCGTTTGAGGGGCAGTCACCCCGGGCGCTCAAACATTTCGATCAGCCAGTTGAAACAACTTTACGGAGCATACGCAATGCACAGTTGAGCTGATGCTTGCTCTCCGGCCAATTCTTCCAGCAAAGCAACAAACAACCGGAAGCACTAGCTGGGAACAGAAGTGATGGTATCCCGACGCCAGGAGAAGCCCGCGAGACGTCGAACTCCGAGAGTATCAGATTTGCCCCGAGGAAAAAAGAACAAGATTAAGAAGGATTTGCGTCCGAGATGTTTCGTGTGCTGGCGGAGACGGAGATCCTGGATCTGGCTCGGCAGAGATGGTCTCGACGCCCGAGATTCTGATGATCATCCGATTCTTCACCATCGTCAGTTCAAACTGCTTCTCTTTTGACAACCAGTATGTCTCACCTCGTTTTATGACATTTATTTTTATGGGACGATTGCTCTCTTGCTATTCTCAATCTTGGACTATCCGCACATTCCCATCTCAGCTGGTCAGGGTCCAGTCCGGCCCAGAGAGCCGAACTTTCTGAGGGCAAGGAACCACAGCACTCCTTTACCATGAAGGACTAAGCCCGAAGGCTGCATAGATGGAGCTTCAGTATCGCCGTGAGTACGCACGGTTAAGGCTTCTTCTACTCGTCAACGTTGGCCAGCTTTTCACCTTAACCAGGCTGCACCGCGGTTGATACTCGCACTTCAACTAAACAATGACATATTCACTCCTCTACGGAGAATATTCGATATCCCTGATATACTACCTGTGGATGGCAACGTATCCTTGCCTCCGGCTTAGACACTGCAGTCATTCACCTTCCGCTGGCCACACTTCCTTGCAACTGTCGAAACATCTCCCCATGGATAAAGCTTAGCCGGGAAGGCGATCGAACAGTCAACGCAAACCGGCGATCGTGATGGATATTATCGGGAACCTCGTGCCACAGCTGGCACGGAGTAGTCGTATGCGCAGTCGTATGATAGACGGCAACGGATCTTCTGTGATCGGATGTTTCATGACCCTTACTTTCACCTCGACGAGTCCTGTGCGTGATGCTCCCCGTCTGGGAAGCGGTTTTGGACTGCAGCTAGCTATTTAAATAGCAATGTGCGTTCCTCAGAGGCTTTGGTTTGAATCCTATCATCCAGCTGAGGTCCGTTCTTTACGTCCTGTTTCTCTTTCCAAGATATTCACTCCTTTAATTCTTCTTGACGAAGATGCTTTTCAGCTCTAGATTCCTTGCCCTGGCGGCACTCTTGGGCCAGGCGCTCGCTCTCCCCATTGATGATTTTTCCCAGAGCGATGCGGGACTCAAGGTCAAACTCACCTCGATGGGAAACACCCGTGTGAAAGCGGTTGTCACCAATGAGGGAGAGCAAGAGATATCGTTTCTCAAATTCAACACCTTTTTCGATTCTGCCCCAACCCAAAAGGTCCAAATAATGAAAGCCGGTATGCTCTACTATTGGACAATACAGTTCAAGAATTCGCTAACCTTGCCCAGGCTCCTTGATTCCCTTTTCAGGCGTTGATTTCTACTTTAACATGGCCAACCTACCCGCAGAAGCTTTTAAAACTCTAGCTCCAGGTGCTAGTGCTGAAGCTGAATTCGATATCGCCGCAACGGCCGATCTCTCGCCTGGAGGTTCCTACACGGTCTCATCTGCGGGATTTCTCCGCATCGCAGGCGGCAACGGAACTGCCATTACCGGTCGCATGAGATATAGAAGCAATCAGATGAAGCTCAACGTCGACGGCGATATGGCAGCCAAAGTACAAAGTGCAGTCCCGACCATTGAAAAGCGAACTCGCATCGACGGCAATAGCTGCCGTGGAAACTACGGCCAGCTCTTGTCAAGAGCCCTTCAAGGCTGCTCCTCCTATGCTGGTCGTGCCGCTCAGGCCGCATCCAACGGCGATGCCCAAAAGTTCCAAGAGTACTTCAAGACAAACAGTCCTCAAGTCCGCCAGAGCGTCGCGGCGCGTTTCCAGGCAATTGTTCAAGAATGCAGCTCGGCGTCAAACGGAAAAACCACCTACCTCTGTGAAGATCGCTTCCGTTTCTGCCAGCCCGGCCTCATCGCATACACCATCCCAACCCAAAGTGTCGTGGCCAACTGCCCTTCCTACTGGAAACTTCCCCCTGTCGTGAACCGCGGCCTTGAGCCCGACCACGGATACGTCGTCGTGCATGAGTTTACCCACGCCACTAGTATCTTCAGCCCTGGCACCGAGGATCACGGCTACGGTTACGAGGAATGCCGAAGACTCAACGCCCAACAGTCGCTTTCCAATGCCGATAACTATTCGCTTTTTGCTGCTGGTAAGTTTTTATTTTCTCCGTTGTTTGTAACTCCTTGAATACTCACATTTGTGCAGCCGTTTCGCGAGGGGCTTAGATAGCAAGGGGTGCCTGTAGAACCGCTGAAGGCGCTATGCGTCTGGGGGATGGAAGTACGGAGTTTATGCATCAACATTGGTGCGAAAGTGTCACTCCTTTTATACACAAGTCCCGTATATATAACTATACATATTCATGCAATTTTTGTAGTGATGATACAGTGATTAGAAGCAGGTGTTGATCAGCCCGATAGCTTATTAGTTGACTAGCAACCTCGTCTTTTTGAACGAGTTGAAGCTTGTTTCGTACTATTAGCTCATGGCAGATCTCACCCTCCATGAAATGACAGGGACATAAAACATTTTATCTTTTCGGACCCCCTTTTTCTTTGGACGAATTTATCTGCCAATTTTCCTGGTAGCCAACTATTCCTTTGGATGTCCCATCCAGTGCGCAAGTTTATGCCTACGCATTCGCGAGGTACGCCAAATTATATCTGATCAAACAAGCTGTTCCATGTATTTCGATCATAAAGCGTATAGCGGATAATTATACTATCAAAGCATACCGACCTTTTTGCTATCAAATCTTTCTGTTACAAGCCAAAACCCACCCCTCCTTTTTCCTTTTTCCAGTCTCAGTTCATCAAAAATTCTTGAGCCTCTCTACCTCCGTCCACCAAAGCTTCCCTTTCAATTAATTCGGGCACTAATCTGCTCTTGCGATGACGCAAGGTGGTCCCGGCCTTTGGTCGTAAATTCCGGAGAGCAGTGAGCCGTTTGTGGTGCTCCAAACATGGTTTTAGATGAGCTCCTCGGTCGAGAAGCATGCGCGCAATCGTATAGGACCCGTATTTCACCGCCCGCGCCAGCAGGTTATATCCAGTATTAAACGGCGAATCGACAGAAGGAAAACCAGCAGCCAGAAATGAATCCAGGAGCAGCCTGACCGTGTCTACGGAATCCGCGCTAATTGCGCTTTCTAGAAATGCTAATGCATCCAGCGGCGAAGAGTACAGGGTCGGGAAAATCTCCGTGGCAGCAAAAAGCCGGAAGATCGTCTCACTAAGAGGCTTCAGCTGAGGCAGGTCGCTTCCTTCACAGGTGGGTATTTGGGGGTTGGCATAATCGTTTTGTTTCGTCCAGATCCAGAAGCCAGAGCAGACATCGGGCCTCCCCCCAAAGCATAGGCATTGATAAATGGGGGGATAGAGGCAGTCTGTGGTTAGCTCGTTAAGTATCCCGTTTATTATAGGAGACAAGAGTTTCAGGCTCCATCTCTTTTTCATAGACTTGTAGAATCTTCTGGCTGACGGAAGATTTGAATGTTCCAGTGCCGCCAGGAGGTTCTCTTCCCCGATGTTGCTGTCCCCATAGCATCGGAGCAGGAAATCGGACACCTCTTCGTTTCCCAATTCCCTGGCCATGACGATCTGCTCATCGTCAGTCAGCGTGAAGATAATGTTCCCGGCATCCCACTGCTGGTGTATTAGACGTGCGATTTCGGGCATATTGGGGCCGGCTCGTCGCAAAAGAGTTCTCGCCTCCTCCTGTCTCCCGGCCGTGCGTGCGGCTTCGCAGATTGATAGAACTATACTGGCCGTGTAAGTTGGCCCGTTCTCACGTATTTTTGTTTCAATGCCGAGGGCGATTCCTGTATGCTCCTGGAGGAACACAGCTTTGACGACATTTACGTAGCCACGCATCGTTGCCTCTTCGAGAAGCTCGGAAATGTCGACAAGTTCTTCGTCTAGAGTGGCGCCGATATTGAGAAGCAACTGCGCAATGTGTCTCTGCCCTGTCTTGACAGCAGTCAAAATCGGCTGATGGCGGTCTACAGTTTTGTTGATATCTGCCCCGGCTTCAATGAGATCTATGACCAGCGATGTACTCCCAGATGTAACCGCAGCATGTAGCGCCACATCTAAATCTATACCATGATCGACAAACTTCTGCACGATTTTAGCATCGTATTTCGTCCAATTATTAGCTCTCCATGGCTCGTAGAAAAGAAGGCCCAACGGCTCGAAAAATAGGGTACCCTGAGACCGAATTGGAACCCCACGGGCTATCATCAGGTCCACGACATCTGCGTGGCCTTTTTGTGCAGCCGTCGTGAGGCCAAATATCGCGTCGTCTCCGTTGATTTGTTCCTGGGTCATCCTGTTCAAGCAAAACTCCACCAGATCTCGGTGGCCGCTATCAGCTGCTGTTGTGATGATATAATTCCAATCATCGCATGTCAAAGCTGCTCCATACTGTAGGAGAAGCCTTGCAATATTTACATTCCCTGTTCCTCTCGCGATATAAAAAGTCAGTTTTTTACAGGGCCATGGTAGACGACCGGCAGGATCCACGCCTTGCTGAAGCAGTAGTTCAACCGCTTCTTCGTTCCCGTAAAACGCCGCGGCTCGCAGAGCAACTATTTTGCTGTGGGTATCGTCCGTGTCGGCAGTCATGTGCTCAAGTAGCGTTTTTATGATAGGAATGGATTTCCTTTTTGCTTCCTCTGTCGAGGCGTAGGCGGCGATGCACAGCGGGGCATATCCGTCTCGATCAACAGCCGAAGCCTCTGCACCTGCGTCTATTAAGAGCCTTACGACATCAAGGTGGCCACGAAAAGCGGCGACATGCAATGGCCTCCCATATATCCCACCATTCAAATTGACGTCTGCGCCCCAGTCAATCAATTGAGAAACGACTCCAAGGTCTCCGCTCCATACACCTGCTTTGAGAGGGTAGCCCAAGGCGCCAAATGTACAGTTAAGGTCCACGAGCCACTGGGCATTAAGCAATCTAAGGATATCTAAATACCCTCTATAGGCCGCAAGGTAGAGAGACACAGATAGAACCTTGCTTCGGCGGTTGAGCTCGCGGCTCTCCAATAGGTACGAGACCAGAGAGGTGTCCCTTTGCCACACCGCCGCAAGTAATAGGAGATCATGGGATCCAAGCATGGAACCAAAAAAGATTACCGACTCCGGCATAACTGCGGCAAAGAAATGATCCAGTACATCTTGCTTGCCAAGAAACGCGATTGCGGCCTCGATAAAGGCTGAAGCATAGGGGCTGATATCATCAATTCCAAAAGGCACTGCATCATGTTCGGCTTCGCTGGATATAATCGCTGATAAGGTACTTTTGACGCTAGATACGAGGTCGCGCAGGACACCCGGGGGGCCTGGAACGCGTAATTTCTCCCCGATGAGAATTGCAAGCGCTTCTCGGTTGATCTTCGCCGCCAGCTCAGGATAGCATGTTTCGCACCGCAGTCTTACATATGCTTCTCGAGTAACGATTTCGCTCAAACTCTCTGGGTATTGGGGAGTCTCTTAGCCATAATGCGTGCTTTGTAGTTTGAAAAGAAAAGGCTGAGTTATTCCGCGACAAACTTACTATTTACCAGTCGCATCGAAGAAACCGTTTGCCGTTCCGCATCGATAAACATCCACCAGTCACTAAACGTGAATGAGACAATCAGTCCGACTAATTCATTCGGGGTATTGCTGAGTGACATGGCGCAGGAATGGGTATGCTACGACGTCTACTTCCTATAAGACAAGGTAGACTCTAAAAGGTCCAGTTGATATCAAGTGGGAAGAGCTGCTTGTGCAGCGATGAGCTCAAAGCAGCAGAGACAAGAGACACGGCGTGGTGTCCAAGATATGAATTTTGCATTGAGAGGTAAATTATCAATGTAGATAATTATCCAATTGATCAGGCAATGCTTCGCCAGCATCGCCACTGTCCGTCAATGATGAGCAGTGACTACCCATCTCGAATTGATTTCGCAGAGGCAATCACCGCAGAACGAGAACGGGCAGCTGCCACTTGCGCGGCCATCTCAGGATCTCTGCCCTTTTATCGCCAGGCTGATTGCTGCATGATTCCGCAGTCGAAGGCATCAAATCCAATCCAGGTGGTCATCTCCAGGAGCAAATTGGGGACATGGCACATCCGATTCCTCAACAAATCCACGGCCACAGTGATATTGCCTTGGAGCAGACGATTTCTCTGGCTGCGTGGGTTGTTGACGGCGAGTTCGAGACCAACTGAGGAAGCAGAAAATCCAAGGCGATGCGGGGAGGTTTAGCTCAGCTTCCAGGCGAGCGTCGTCTTGGTCCACGAAACGATTTTGATATACTTTCCACCGCGACTAACTTTGGCTGTGGAGTGGAACTTGACAGATGAACCAGAGCCGGTGCTGGCTTGTCACCTTACCGATGCGGTTAAGCAGCGCGAGTGCTTGGAGATGGTTCGTGTCTCAGCCGAGAGCCAGCGTGCGAGGCGATGAAACACCACATCCCAGCCATCGATCCCGAGGGGAATAAGCAATATCTGGGGTAAGCAGAACAGACGGAAAAAGGAAAAAGAAAGGGGAGAAAAAAGAAAAAAAAAGGCACAGTGCGTCATTCAACGATCAGACTAATTAATCATGACAGCTACCGAAATCACCACTGATGACTTTGCCAATTGGTGGCATCAAAGCGGCCTTTTCATTGCCAGGCGCCAGCAGGGTTCTGTGGACAGTCAAGCAATGCTGGATCCTGGTCGATGCGGCGAGCCCGAGGCGATGGTCTTTTCGGCGAGCATAGAATAATAATATCACGGTCTGTCAGAACAATTCCACAAAAGGATGACTTGTACGCCAACTCGACTTTGAGCCGGACTCTTTGCTAGAGCTTCTTCTCGTGATTTTCGAGACTGAAACTTCAGCATTCTCCACCGTCAGAGGGCGATCCATGGGTCCCCTGGCTGCCCTGCTAGGCGACTGGACGGGCAAGATGAGCCCTCTTCCAGTCTTCGGCACCAGGCCCAGGCACCGTCTCTCGTATTGCGAAGCCAGCGGTGGAGTCTCTTGCAAAAGCGCAGATTTGGGCTGAAGTCCACAGAAACTCACGCGAGCCTCGAAACGAAAATCTTTGCGCCGAAAAAAGGAGATCCAGTCTCCAGCTGTGATCGGCCGTCGCTTTTTCGGCTTCTCGTCTCGCAGCGCGCTTCTGGACAGCCTAAAATCGTGGGCCCTTGGGACTCCGAAGGGTCCTTCTGGTTAAAATCTGGCTGGAGAGAAAGGTTTCCCCCCTCCTGATTCCCCCATTTCGCTTCCCATGGAACAAGGAGCACGGCCTTATTTGATTTTTCTGCAGGAAATGGCGGACAATAGGGAGGATTATAGCCCCCCCCCCCCGCCGCGCATCCCAACTCTCCCTCAAGCGTTCGTGAAGTTGATGGAATCCGTCGCCCTTCTCCTGGCTGGTTCTAGGAGCTGAGCACGCATTGCACCCCTAACCCTTTCAATTGCATTTACATCCAGACCAGCCGTCAACATGCCTGGAGGCTTTCACCCTCCCCCCGCGGTCATGGCCACTTGGCCAACGCCGAATTATATCAACCCGCAGGAAAAGGGCCCCGGGGTAGTCATCGCGGCTGCCGTCCTGGGCTTTGTGATGTTGGTGATTGTTGGCCTCCGGTTATGGGTGCGCTTTGGGTTACAGCGTGAACCTGGCCTGGACGATTATATCATTGCAGTCGCTTTGGTTCGTTTCTTGTCTCTGATGGCTCCTTGCATCCATCACTGTCTAACCGTTGGCTTTGATATAGTTGCCTGCGATTGGTTTGGCCATTGTGATGGGCATAAGTGCGTTTGGAATCCCACAGCTCTCAATCTGGGCCGCAGGGCATTGAGCACTGACACGGTTGTTCCTTTTCTAGTAAGCCCTCTACACGGATGGTATCGGCATATCTGGGATACTCCTCCGACGAGTTTTGTTGGTATCATAAAGGTAAACTTTACACTTCTACCTGGTGAACCTTTTTTTTTCACATGCTTGCTGGGCTTTTGCTGACATGTGCATCGCCCTGTAGCTGAACTGGATCGCACAAGTATTGTGAGTTGGACAGTCCTGCCACACTTCCTAGCAAAGGCACAAGGCTGATTCCCGTTCAGTTTCCTGTTCGCCAATATTTTGACAAAAATATCTATCCTGGTGCTGTACTTGCGTGTGATCAAAGGCACCGCAAACAAGATCTTTCTGAATGTGGTCAGGGTCGCGATCGGCATCCTTGTGGCCTATGCAACCTCTGGAATTGTTTTGCTGTGCTTGCAGTGCCAGCCTCTTGATTCATACTGGGAACAGTTCAATTTCTTCAACCCGCCCAAGAACTTCACCTGCTGGGATGAAGGGATTCTGCCGCTATACGCTGTGATATTCAATGTCTTCACGGATTTGATGGTGACATGCCTTCCCATGTTCCTCTTTGTCCAATTGAAGATGCCCTTCCGAGAGAAGATGTCGCTTGCAGCTGTGTTTGGCGTGGGTTTCATGTAAGTCCTATCCCTCGCCGGCGCGGCAGCGGCTCCTGTGACTAACCTGATCCGCCACACAGCGTCTGCATTTCCGGCGCCATACGAATATATTACTACTATTCGGTGTTCTATAGCACCTACGATATCACCTGTAGGTGGCCCCTGGACCTTGTTCAAACGCGTTGGGCCACAGTTCTTACTTTTTTCCTGTAGGGATTGCGTATGATGTCTGGATGTGGACGGTGGTTGAATGTTTTCTTGGGATCATCTGCGCGTCCATCCCGCCTCTCCGGCCGCTCTTCAAGCGCTTCCTCAAAGGCACCCGGTACGGCAGCGGCTATCCAAACAACAGCTACTCCGCCCGCAGCAAGAATATCACGGACACCGGCGACCCGGAGAACCAGCCGCATTCCTATCGACTCCACCACAACCCTCGCCGTGCCCGTTCCACCGAGTGGGACAAGGATAGCAACTCCAGCTCGATACCGCTCGAACGGAATCCCCGGGATGGCATTATGAGGACGGATAATTTTGAAATTACGTATAATCAGGGCTTGAAGCCTCATGAGACCCGTGCGGCGGTCTGAGAATGATTTGGCGCAGACGCAACTTGACGTTCCTGGCCAATAATGTCCATTTGTTTAATAGCGATTCTATTTTCTTTTTTCACGATCCCTTTTCTTCGATGTGTTAATTTAACTACTCTATACCAATGTAACTATCTCTTGGAAGCAACGAGCCTTAGAACAAATGTCTGCAAAGCGCATTTCCTGTGGTGCATCATGATGCGCCGGGGTGTTGTCCAGGTAGTGATCGCCCACTGGGATTGACCACTCTGTAACGTTCGTCGGGTTGAGATGGCCCAACAAGCGAGGAGGAGAGGCGGAGCCGATGCATTGCTTTTTTCTCCAGCTGGCATCCCCATTCTCCTGCTTCTGCTTGCATATCGGTGCTTTGAGATCCCTCGAGGCTAGACTCTGCCGTCTGAGAGGATTGCGTTCAAAAACTCCCTCGCTACCGCTAGTTTGTGGATTGTTGTTAGTCGAACGAACTTGATATTTTCCATATCGCCGCGAATCCTCCCCGAACTTACCATATTTGACGAAGCGGAGTTCGAGACCTAAAGCAAAACTCCACAGAGCTCGATGCCCAGCCAGCACTAGCTAGCGAGCAAAGTTGCCCCCGATGTCGTGAGCCACGTGGGCTGGATCTGAGATGTGATCGTGGGCCGCCGGCGAGTTATTCTGGTCTGGGGACGTTTGCTAACTAGTTAGTTACTGGGTGAGGGGATGGAGAGATAGCGGGCCTGGCCCCCCGTCGGCACCGAGTTGGGCGCTGGCTTTGCTGTCGAGGCGAAAACCTCCTCCTCCGAAGCCAGACAGGTCAATCGAGGTGCCTGGAAAGATGGCTTTTTTGATCGCGAGAACGGCCCTGGCATCCTGGGACTCGGAGTCTTCTCTCTCTTGCTCCACTTGATTTGACATATTTCTGCAGCTTCGCCCTGTTCAAACCTTCTGCACCATAAAATCCTCCTAGCGCTGATGAAAGCTGGAGAGGGCACCAAGGAAGGGAGGGCACCAATGGTGAATCAGCTGGAGACACACAGAGTTCACCCCCGCCAGACCCTTTTACCCTTTTTCTTTTTTTGCGCTTCTGTGCCTGCGAAACGACTGTGGAAGCGGTTCGATTGGAAAGCCAACTGGGCCAGATTGTGTTTCGGCCTGCTAGCCGGCGTTGACAGCTGCACCACATGGGCACCTGGGACAGTTAGCGGGCGCCCTAAAGGTAGAGACGAGCCCGGTGCGAATTGCAGTGCCCCATGTTGCCGATCGCTATTTTTGTTGACCGGTTTCCCAAGTCCTTCTCGTTAACTACCGAACCTCCGGCAGGATCCGAAGATGATTTAGTGGCCTGGACTGCAAGAGGTTGCCCGCCACAGAATCATAGACTTGCGCTTGACGACCCCCTGAATCACAAGGTCTGAGCACGGTTACGGAATACTGGGCTCATAAAACACAACTGAACGGCTCTGGGAATGACGCTGGAGGAGAACATTGGGGTTTCAAAGTTACGCCGGACTTTCTCGGCGCCTTTTTTGTTGAATGCGCGAAGGAGTACATAGTGGATGCATCACTAGGCCGCGTGGAGAATGACGGTGATGGACTACGGATATGGAATTTGACGCATGATTTCATGGCTAGTTAGCGTTTCTCAGAGCAGAACAGGAGTCGTCGCTCAATGCCTCCTCATTGTTATCTGGTCTGCCTCTGAGCGCAGATCTGAATCTGGCCTGTCTCTCTCAACGGTGATTCGAGGCAAATTGCTTTTCCGCGCCATCTGCGCGCCCTGACGTTTCTTCCCACCCCGTCGATGTGGATCTTTCGCACTCGCCAACATCCAGTCTGGCGTTTTCTGGGCCAAACTTCCGTTCGCCCATAGCACGCCCAAGCCGTGCCTCAGCCCAACGACAACGTCAAAGAATTCCGTACCCAGGATCTTGCTGCCATGTCCACCTTCGACCTCCATCCCCTCACTGAGGATCACGCCGTTCTCACTCATCCAAAACGGACATCCTGCAGCCAACGCCTTTTTCAAATCAATGTATATCAAGATCTGCGAGTTGGACCTCATTCCTGAAATCACGCCATCTTCGCGGCCATCGGCCCGCCCCTTCAGTTTTGGAGGGTCGACGACGGCTCCGTCCAGCCCGTCTGGGAGAACCGTAGACAGCGCCGGCCCAGTCGCGAAGTGTATTTGGTTCCTGCCCATACATTTTAGCCCGCCAGACTCCAAAATCTCCGGCCACGCGGTGTGATAGGTTCCATGCACCGCCGTTTCCGGGAGGTCGCTATCCGCCGGCGAGAGCTGTCGCAGGAGGGACGATGCGTCGACTGATTTTATACTGTGGCCTTGTCTGGCTCGAATGAGATAGTGGTAGGGATCGGTATCGTCAACGCTCGCCGCGAGGGCCTGGGCCGTCGCATTCTCACTCGTCGCAGCATCCTTGGACGCGATATCTTCGACCGCCTGCAGTGCGGAATCCGGGCTGCTCGCCGCGTTCGGCTGCGAGCGTGAGTCGGAAGGAATGTAGAGCAGGCCGAATCGCTGCTTGTCTGAAGACGCTACGGCCTCAATGACATCAGCGAACGTGACGTTCAACGACTTGAGCTTCTTCCAGCGGAGCTATATCTCCCCCCCAGAAAAAAAGATATTTCTATGTAGTTAGCCGCAGGACTTCAACCGTTTTGAGGCACGACAAGTTTCCAAGTCAAGATGCGCACCAACTCCCCGACCGCTGCATAGCCTTGCTGGTCGATCTTCACACCCTCCCGCTCCGCCGCATGTCGCAGGATGTAGCTCAACGCCTTGGAAATGGCCACCTTGCGTGATGGTGGTTCCCTCCTCCCTGCCCTTTGGCCAAGCTGTGCCATCTGTTGTCAAGCGGTTCGAATCGGTGTTTGCAATGAATTTTTGTTGTTGCGCAGAGTCAAATCTCACCCATGATCGAGCGATTAGGCTTCGGGTTGAGCCTTGCGATCGCCTGCTTAGTAATCTGACAACGCATTTAAACTATATCCAGGCCTCTACGGAGTATTAATTGCTGTGATATTAGTGAATCCTCTCCCGAGGATGGCTAGCTGGGAAAAGTCTACCAAAAGGCACATGCTTCTCTCTTTAACCATGTAGTTAAGATACGCGCTACAAGGGGTGCACTGGGGCAAGCTAGGATCAAGTAGCAAACGGCCAGGGACTGGCATCAAAATTTAATCTAGAGGATGAAATCCCAATCTCTAGATAACTAGTACCAAAGTTATGTACCGCTGCACTAACTAATTGGATAATAATCCTTAAAGGTCCGATCCGGTCCAGGGCAGAAAGCTCCAGAAAGCCACTACTACTCCGTATATCGTAACGCCTTGTCACCGTTCCTTGTCCCAGTTGACCCGAGGGTATCATTCTCGCAACAGAGACGCCATTGTAGCACCAGGACCTCCATGAACAATAACAAAAATAAAAACATCAAGCCACCACGATAATCTATTCGCGGCACATGCAATTGCAATCGGTAACCGGGCATTTTCGATGTGTTTCGAACCAGGTCTTCGCATGATCTGCATGGTTTCCATGGCTGCATCGGATGCAAAACGCCACAGATTTTCTCAATCCTTCTTCCAAGCGCAGAGCTGCTATTCCCTTTGTGGCATCTTCCGCAACAGATGATTTTGGCATTGGACGTGGTGTGCCGAGCCACCCTCCGCAAACTCCGCATCGTGGCATGTGACGACCGCACTTGGGACAAATTATTCCACCCGTCTGCGATGATCCAAGGGGGTTGCCTTGGGTATGGTGGATGGTTTCCGCGCCAGAGACCTCGTGCTCCGGCTGTTCCCCTTTCTGCGAAAGTAGCTGAGTACAGTAAGTGCATACTAAGCTAACCTGCTGAGGCGGTGGTTTCGTGAGCCTGCGGCCATCCCATGTGACTGCCAAATCGCGGGAATTGATATCAAATCGTGCTCGCCAAAGATACATCTTCCATCTATTCATTTGATAGCGATAGGCATTGCGCCAGCCATAAAATCGACTTATGTTGCGTGGGTCGGAAATAAACCGGGGAACAGCATAGCTCATGACCGAGACGGCGGTTTGGAAATCATTGAACTTATCAATATACGAGTCAAATAAATCCATGGCAGCGTGGTCAAGACCCGTGAGCACCCAGCCTTCAATGTCACCTTGTCTTACCGCTTCCGAAGTCGCGTCTCTTATGTACGTTGTGAGCTTGTCATCCGGAAGCCAACGAAGAGCCACCTGCACACGATATTTCAACGGAAGTGATGTTGTCTCTTCAAGGACCACGTCCCAGCTACCTTTGCGTACTCGTGCAAGGATGGCTTTGGTAAAAGGGTCGATGCTTCTTATTGCGAGCTCAGCACAGGCTTCATCCCAATCTTTATTCTCCTTCGCCGTCGAACCACCGGCAACTGCCATGGCCAAGAATTTGTGCATTTCGGCTGGTGAATCTTTCAGTGCTTTGTAAGCCAGGTCGTCTTCCTCTTGGAACATTGCGAATAATGCAGCTTTGGTTATTTCATCCGCCTTGATGAAAGCAGCCATCTCCTTTTCGAGCTGTTTCACGGTTCCAATGCCGCCGCATATATCTAGGCAAAGCTGGCGCCGTGTCTTGAAATCCGTATCGCACATTTTATAGTCAGGAAGTTCCAGCTGCTTTACTAACTCTTCGATAAGCTTGCTTACGTCGACATCGTCATCCAAATCAGAACTAGCGAGTCGATTCTCAAGGCTCAAGCCTAGGATTCATTAGCAACGATCGTCAAACAATGGCTAGAATAGAATTTACCGAGATTCCCAGTCCAAACACTTTGAACTCCCAAGTAGTTCATGTCCACACCACGTACTATTTGTGATTTGCTAGCTGCGCGTGTACGGGCAACTATACAAGGAATGATATTTAGCAACCCATTCAAAGTTAGTAGCTCACTGAATGCTTACAAGAAATCCAGTCCCAAAGACTCAGCAAACCAGGATCCTCAGTAACAATGTTGAAAATTCTCCTAGGGTCAAGGAGGTGTCCTTCTTGAAGACGTAGCCGGGGGACCGCCATCATTGTTAGCGCATCCTTGAAGTTAGCTGCCTTTTCGGGCAACACGAATAGCTCCCGACGCGCTCTGCTTGAAAGGTTCCAAATCTCGGTTAGGTCTTCCTCGTCTTCGACTTCTTTTTCTTCCATCTCTGCTTCCAATTTCATCTCAAAAGCTCGACCCTGAGCATCATCAAGGGCCTGTCCGACTTTCACTCCGGTTTCGGGTGCGATGGTTTTGAAGTCTTGTCCATTGGCAAAGCCTCCACGAACGAAAAGACTTTGAAATGACAAGCTAACTGGCCCAGGGATCGGCGGGAGTCTGTACATGGCGACGGTCTTATCGTTTAGAATAGTGATAGCTTCCAGGTCGCCCGATGAACAAAAGTTCAAAAAATCGAAGGCTCCAACGCGCTTTGAAGGATCTTCACTTCGAGCTTGTGGCGGAGAACCAGTTTGAAATTCGCGAACGTTCTTCGTGTACAGCAATTCGGGATAATTCTTGCCGGATTCTCCTCCAACTGTCTTCTCCAACGTCACACGGTGTTCCTCCGCAGAGTATTCTTTCTCGACGTGATAAGCTCTAAATATCCCCGTATCGGTCGACATGCCTAAACGGCCTCGGTGGGTCTGAGAGAATCGCAAATTCCAGATCGTCGATCCGGTGTCGATATCCGGTTTGATTTCCAACACCTGGCCGCCATCGATAGTGCCGGAAGAGCCTCCCGTCGCGGCCGAGTATCTTGAACCCGAACGGCGGTCCCAGATGCAGACTGTGGCATCGTCGTGTGGCGCGCACGAGGCGAAGTAATTCTCGTCGAGCCAATCAACTGCTAGGTGATTGACACAACGTGTCGAAAACTGCAACGATGGGTTTCCGGGGCCCTCTAAAGAAGTAATAATAGGATCACGTTAGGAAACATCACGGCCAAAAACAAAAACAAGTCTGAGAAGTAGCATACCGCGAAGATCATACAGTCTCACCGACTGCCCTTTCGTGCCAGCGATCAGAACATTTGGCTGGTCTCTTAAAAAGGTGAGGCTCGTCACCGGCTCCCCGTTTGCGTACTTTCGTAGGGGGTCAGGAACCTGACGGTCCGACCCGCCGCGCGAAGTACCTCGCACAGGTCGCTGATTGGGATCCCAAATGTAAACACAATGGTCACCCCTAAATTTATCCAACTCCGCAGCCAAAAGGCCACGGGTGTTCCAAGCAAGCCCATGACAGACTCGCTGGACCTTGGAGGGCAGCGTGAGCGGGGTCCGCGTGCCGTCCTCGAGATGGACGACAACCACTTCCCCCATCGCGTGCCCAACCGCGACGAGCTTCTCCTCAATCGGAGACCAGTCAAACGAACGAAACTCTGAGCCATTGGAGGCCGACGAGAGCACCTCGTAGCTCAAAGTGGACTTGTCCGGACGCGAAGTCACTCTGCAGTGACTGAATGTTTGGCCCTTGGAATCGACGTAGAGGAACCGCTGATCCTCAGCTGTAGAGGCAGGAGCCCAGCGCACGGCGGTCTCCATCTTGCTGAGTTCCTGGAGATCGTAGTCAATCTCGGTCAATGGCCATGGCGGAGGAGAGAATGTGGGAGTTGGAGGGGAGCTCTGCTCTTGATAAGTGAGCTGGGGGGCAACAGAAGCCAAGCTTGGGGAGCTGTCCATCGGGCCGACTGTTTCTCCGGGTGCAGCTTGTTCCAACAGAAAAGAAAAGCGATCGAGAAGATTCTCACCACGGGCTGGTTGGAAGGGCTTCATGAACAGCTTGCGGGAAAGAAGAAGAAGTCAAGATTCCCAGGAAGAAAGCCTCAGTGTGCTTTGTGTTCTTCTTATATCGCCCAGTCACCATATCATAACATCGGCGCACGCTTAGTCGTTAACCCTCTCCCACAGCCTGAATCTCCGCTCCATTGCGACCGCAGCTGGGCACAATGTCCCAGCACAATGAAGCACAGTTCTCTCCCAGAAAGCGCCGGCGCGACTCCCTGTCCGCGGCCGATCCGAAGCGCATCAAGCGCCAGCAGCTCGATCCCTCCCAACCATCCCATCACCGCGACGCCGGACCAAGCATCAACGAGCTCAAAACGAGAATTCGAAATATAAAGCGCCTACTCGCCAAAAGGACGGACGATCTGCCCGCAGATGTGCGCGTCGCTAAAGAAAGAGAGCTAGCAGAATGCCACCGGGACTTGGAGAGAGCCGAGGAGCGTAAGAATCGCTCGAAGATGATTCAAAAATACCATTTTGTGAGGTTTTTGGGTACGCTGCAGGCCTACTCCCGTTTCGGGATTGGAATTTAACGCTGATACATGCATATTGTGACCTTCTTAGAACGTAAAAGAGCTCTAAAAGAACTCCGGAAGCTATGCGCGCAAAGGAGCAAGCTCGACAAAGATACCAATCTCGACCCTTCCTCCAAAGCAGCGGCACTTGAAAAACTCAACAAATCGATAAAGATCGCAGAGACCGATCTCAATTATACACTTTTCTCCCCCCTAACGGAAAAGTACATCTCCTTGTATCCCACCGGACGCCGCCAACAGCAGCAGGGCCAACAAGAAGAACCGCCCGAGCCAGAAGAATCCAACATCATTCGTACAACTACAGGTGAAAAGCCTCCGCTGTGGTACACGGTGCAACAGAGCCAGGCGGACGGGACGCTGGAGCAGCTACGAGACGGGAAGTTGGGAATCGGTTTATCTGGCGAAAAGAAGGACCCCGGGGAACGAGAAGTAGCTTCGAGGAATACGGCGTTGAATCTGGTCGTGCATCGGAAGCAGAAGAAATTGGTGCCCGACTCGCAGATTGAAGGTGGTGTTGATGGGCAAAAACGACCCACCAAAGTATCTACGCGTAGCAAAGGGGCTCAGGGTAAGAAGGGGAAGAAACTCGTGACGAGGGAAGGGGATGAAGAAGAGAGCGGCAGCGATGGTGGATTCTTCGAATGATTATGGGGAAAAAAGGGGCGTGGAAAGGTTTAGCGAACAGGCAAGGCGTAGGGATTATGTCTTTCTAAATATTGATTATCTTCACGATACACGGCACCATCGATTATAAGAAATATTTGTGGCTAATATACCGTTTTCTATACATGTCGCATGCCCCATATCGGTTACCATGAGCAGGGGGTAATAATATTCGAAATTTTAACATTGAATAAGTTCGACTCCTATCCCTTCTACGAATTTATATAACTATAATAACTAATTGAAGGAGAGGAATAAACGCCACGCAGGAAGACCTCTCATGTCTCCAAGTACCTAAGAAAATGTTTCCCAAAGATCATACCATACTAACACACCAAGTCATCCAAGGTAAAAAGGGGCAAAGAGGGACAAAACAGCCATTCTGAGATAAAACCATATAACAGCGCTTAAAGGTGGCCCTTTCTTGTAAACGTGCAATTCATGACCCGTAAATACTTCCCAGCAAACCATAGATGAGTAGTAAACGACCCGTTCCACCAACCCAACCCCATACCAAGTGAAAACGCCAAAACTCGAGTCGAGGATACCGAAAACTCACATAACAACGCAACCACCACTCCTCGCCCGTCTTCTGCGATTACCTAGAGAAGCCAACCCGGCCGGCCCATAACCATACTCCGCGTCATCGTCATCGTCCAAATTGTACAGCATCTCAGCGTCTCTCGCCCTCCGCCGCCTTCTTCTTGCACCGGCTCCGCCTGCCTCGGCTTCTTCGTTGGCTATCATGCAGTTGGCCCATTTGCGCTCGAGTCTCATCGCGGCTCCAAGGTTACCGTCTAGAACACGTTTAGTGTGTCTGTCAACGGTCTGCTGCCAGCCATAGAAGCATTTCAGCTGGATAATCTCGTTTGGGTATAGATCTGCTGTGAACTGCGTTGTCTCCGGAGGAGGCGGCGGTGGCGGAAGAATAGTAACGGATGATGTAGAAGATGATGGTGATGACAATCCTGATTCCGACTCCTCTTCTGGTTTAGTAGCCAGAGCCTCTGCTTCTGCAAATCGGGGAACAAATGTATTGTTAGAGAGGACCTCCCTAACCCCTCCCCAAGTGACATTTCCGCAGTCGAAAACAGCCACCCTTAGTCCACACTTTGGCAGTTTAACGCCAAAGCCTCGTTTGCGCATCTGAGTGCACATCTCCATCAAGGTTATATCCGAGACCCGCGTGTTATCCAGATCCAAAGACCTTAGATTCGGACAGTTTTTCAAAACTTGCATCATTCCTGTGTCGCCGAGCTTTTCGCAATAGCTTATATTGAGATGTTCCAGCCTAGAAGCACAGGGAGCTTTCGATAACGCAATCAGAACATTATTGGTAAGCTCTTCTAACTCTTCAATGTCCAGTCTGGCTAGGCGAGGTGTAGTACGTATGAGATTCGTTATGGAGTCGTTTCCGAGGCTAGAGCAGAACGAGAGCTGTAAACTTTCCAATTCAGGAGTAAAGCCTGCTAGATGTCCAATCCCCACATCGCTTATGCCACGGCAGCGAGACAAGTCCAAGTGCTTCAACGTGCGGGCCGGGACAATAGGTCGACCTGTCAATATATCTATCTTTGGATCAGATCCGTGAGAAAGAATCTTTAAAGAATCGTCCGTTAAAGCAGAACAGTGAGACAAGATGAGCGTCTCTAGAGTGTTAGTCTCAAATAAAGCCTGCATGAACTCATTGTCGACTGCTCGGAATTCCCCGATCCGCAGCTCTTTCAGTTGGTGGCATGACCTCACAACTCGCTTCAAACCTTTAGCACTGATGAGGTTTCGACACCATGATAGATCGAGGTACTCCAGTAGCGGACAACTCTTAGAGATGACATTTAATTCCGAATTTGAGATGGTCGAATGGGCTCCCATGCTAATCCGAACCAGTCCAGGGTTTCGAACGAGAAGAAAGGTTAACGTCATGTTATCGATATGGCAATCTTCTAGGTTGATGCTGGCTAGATTTCGACAAGCATCAGCTAGCTGCTCTCCATGCTCAAGCCAAGCCTTTTCCATTTGGATGCATCCCCGCATGTTCAAATACTTTATAAACGGTCCAGCGCTAAATATCAGGCCCACCAATGCTTCCCGTGAAATGCTGCTATAAAACGTCGAGGTGTCGAATTTGGTCCATAATTGGCCGTCAAAGCACAAGGTGTGCCACGTTTTCGATACGCGAGCAGCACGGGCAAGTTCCTTTGGCATCAGGCAGCTGAGGATTCGAAGTTGAACTTCCACTGGCAGAGTATCCCAGTAGTTTTTGTTTTGATTTTCCGGCAATGCTTCGCTCAAGACACTTTCGTCGAGAGCGGCATCAGCTTTTACCAGTATGTCTGTAGACTTCAATAGCGAACCCCGAGAGCACGGCCGCATCTCAGCAGGTAGCGCTATGGTGGCCTGTTTGGAACCATTCGGGGGTAGAAGCTCCGTCTCAACAATTCGAATCGGGCCAGTATCTTCGTCATGGCGATCGTGGGGGGACTTTCCATAGATCTGGGGAGAGCTGGAGCTCTCCCAGCACTGTCCATGCGATAACGTCGAGGAAAGGGAGATGCAGGACATGGTACCCTTTCCTACACGGCGAAGGCCGGTGGAGGATGAACGGCTTCTGCCGATTTGTTCGAGGGAGGGAGTGGACGTCATCCGCTGAAGACGATTCAGCAGCCGTTGGTGACCTTTTAACTTGGGGCCATCTTCCGTTCTGATCGCTCCTGACATTGAATCGGACGAAGTCCCTTGAGCTGGGATGATCTCATCTGGCGGGAAGGACGCCATTTTGGATTTCTTTTCCGGTGTGATGATGGGGTTATGGACAACAGACGACTGTGGGGGACCTCAGCCTGGCCGCTCGCACGGAAGGAATTGATACGATTGTCGGCCGGCGACGTCGCTTGCTCCTAAAAACACAGAGCTACCGTGATGCCCACAGACGATGCAAAGATGGAGACGAGGAAGAGGAACGATGAATCAATCAGACGTCCATGGCCAGCCCCTCAGCGAATGGAACCGGTCGAAGAGAATGGGGGTAAAGCGGCCTGAGTTAAAAGAAAACAAGCATGCCGTCAGAACTCTGAAAGTTATAGCATTTCCTTCGCTTCCGGTTGAGAAAGCCAACTCACCGACCAGCTCTCACACGACGCACGGCAGTCAAGCGGAAGGCACAGTGAAGATAAAGGGGGAGATCGCAGATCGTTAGAATTGAAGTAGTGAAGACTCAATAGCATGACATCGAAAAAAGCGTGGATCGGACGGCTGTCTCCCTCAGCATCATAGCATGGCGGGTCATCTGAAGCCAGGAATTGTCAAACCAACTGTCTCTCTTCATGTCCTCCCCAGACACAAGTCATGCGGGGGACCCGAACTTACGCACAGCAACAAGAGGAGGATAGAGAGGTCTGAGGATGTCCCTCCGGCAGAACAGAGAGTGTGTGTGGGAGGAAAAAGAGTCGGGGAAAAGGGTGTTTCTCCAGCAGGGACGATGCTACTTCTCCGGTACTTCCAGGCCGGGCTTACCCACAGGGCTGCACTCAACCTGGAAATGCTTGTCTGCTGATGCAAAAGACGCTGTCAGCCATCGTATGCTGCTCAGCGAGGATTCTCATTCCCATCCCAGCCACTTGTGGACATGCTGACCCAGACATTCACAGCAGCAACTCCCAGTCCATTGCTGTGGTGGTTGATGGCGCGGATCAAAAGGTACAGATGGCGATGAAGTCACTTGCTTGTACCTAGGTTCCCCTCTTCTAACTAGCTCCTCTTATCAACCGCCCACTCACTAAGCGATAAGCCTCCCCACAGCAGCTAAAACTAGCGCCTTGTCCGCTGTCGCACCAGATCCGGACTGACAGTTGCAGTCACAGCATTGACTGTGCAGTAAAGGCGAGCAGCTGCTTGCAGCTCCATCTATCCAGGGCTCTTTGTATAGTTACTCATATTCACCATCTACTTGTCGACATGCAATAGTTAGTGCATAAAAAGCCTCATACAGAAATACCTCTCCCTGCCCATGGTTACCATGCGACCCTCAACTGCACCACCAACCAATCTTCTCGGTGGCAAATTGACCCCTCGACTTTCTCCATGTCCGCAACTCAACATACATGCAGACCGTCTGTTACGATGTTGCACTCTCGCCCGTAAAAAGGCACGAAAAAGAAGCCCCCCGGAGCCGGCTCGACATCCGATCCGCAAATCACACCGGAGGTCTAACACAACCTCAACCAATACATATAGAATCGTGACGTCGTCTATCTCAGGGCGTCGTCCTGAAGTCACTGCACTCTGTCTAGTATCTGAGACATTGCTGCTTCCAACTTCTTGATAGCTTGCTTGTTGGGGAAGAAGTTCACTCGCGGGCGAGCTTTAGTGGTTAACCCCTTGCTCTTGTGACATCTGGACGCCAAGTGACCGCACTGTCTGACCTCCACATGTGAGCCAGAAGCCCATATTTGAATTGTTGATTGGGGAGACAGATGTCTTCTGACGAGAAATTCACATGGTGCATCGCGCAGTATTCTCAAAGTATACTGGGCGTACATCAGTTCTGCTTGCATAGCCAAGTCTTATTCTATTCTCCCACATCCTCGATATACTGCAAGTACCTACACAAATCTGTATATGAGAAACTGTCTATAGAACCGAACCCAAATGCCCCCCCAAAGCAAAAACGAAAACTTAACCGTAGAAGACATATCACATATACGCAAAGGGTATCATCCAGCAATTTGCCATTGGCCGTCAAGTTGCCTCCGCCCCGATCTATTTCAGTTTGCACTCCGTAATGGAAAATTTCCTTGCCTCCCCCGGCATCTATCTCTGTTATCTCCGTTTTCGGTCTTCCCTTTCTTTCTTTTTTGTTAAATCCCCTTTCTTTTCAACCAATGCGCTAGTTAACGCTTTCTGTTCCCCCTCTCCAAAAAAATCCGAACAATGCAAATATAAATGCAATCGTGGTATACATTTTAAATGCCCAATCTCATAACCCTCCCAGGCTTTTGTTTTTCCCAGCTGTCAACTGTTGGTCCTCTCGATTTCTGGGAGTGCCTTCCTCTCATGTGCTTAGAAAATCCACTGGCCGCACCCCGTTCCTTTTCGAGCGTAAAAACGAATTGATAACGTCGAATGCATGTCTTACCCCAAGTACCACGCGCTGTCTGTGTTCTTCGTTTCCTTCTTCCGAATAGCACCATCCAGTGGGCTAAGTGTAGTTGTCGGCCAGAATCAGCCAAAAAAAAAAGTCATCGCAAAACAAAAAAGATAATATAAAAGGAGAGGAAAGTATCCTCGTAAGTCCAAAAGAAAAACGCGTGACAAAACTCGCAAGACCAGAAGCTCTTGCTTTAGCCGTGTCCGGGATTATTCGTTGTTGCACTCATCCACGGGTGTTCCATAACTTGGGTGATGGTCAAGCGCTCGTCCACGTTGCGATTAAGCATGCCACGGATCAAATCGATGCAATCGTCTGTAAACGGCAAAAAGGGGATGCGTAACGGGTGGTCCATAATCTCATTAACGTTGTAAAACGGGTTCTCCTTGTATATAACCGTGTATAACAGGATGCCCAGTGCCCATACGTCTTGTTCTTTTCCACGGTACGACCTGCCCTGAAGAACTTCGGGTGCCGCGTAATCTAAATGAAACATAGATGTTAGGTGATTCGTCTCAATCGAGGGTAAAAGCAAGGCACTCACCAATAGTACCGACGAACACGTCAAACGGTCCATTCTTGATATACGCGGCACTGCCAAAGTCGATCAATTTAACTTGCCGTTCGCTATCCATCACGACATTTTCATCCTTGATATCGCGATGTACCACTAGCGCTTTGGTATGAAGATGGTGAACCGCACTGACGACTTGTGAGAAAATCCCACGGCATTCAGATTCGTCCATGTGCGTCCGAATTTCCACGTAGTCGAACAGATCCATTCCCGGACAACCGTGAGGGGTCATCTCTATATAGTAGTTGACGTCGTCCTCGAAAAAACCTTCCATCTCTACGATGTTCGGGTGTCGCATGGCATCCCGACGCAGAAATTCCAGAACATGGATCTCCAACGGCACAGTCCCCAGCCGACGATCACGCGTCCAAGTGTCCACTAAAATTCGCTTCTTCGTGACATACTTTAGGACCATCTTTTTCGCCATATTCCATTTGCACCGTGCTAGTTTCACCTGTCCATAGGCGCCTGACCCGAGATCTTCTGTGATGACGAAATCAGATATCGTTTTCTTCTTTGGTGGTTCAACCTTTGCTGATGATAGTATCATCTCTGGAACCGGCTGTGGAGGTTGGTCTGTAAGTGGCTGTGAAGCGGCCTCGTTCAATTGCTGGGCGAGGAGTGATATCTGCGGTTTATTTGCTTTCGGTGTTTCAAGCATCGGCGTTAATGCGGGTGTTACCTGTCCGGGTGGTGTCTGAGGAGGCGGAGACCCAGAGGGCTGCAACAGTGGGTTTACCGGGGGTAGTTCCATCCCGTTGGTAGAATGATACTGCCTAGAGTAAGTGATCCATAAGGCATAAACTAGCTCAGTAATCACGTAAGGGCTTCCGATTTCCTGGTCCACACCTTGATGCTCATGGATGACATCGTATTGATCTGAGTAAAGCGTCGACTGGCTTTTGACAACCCGCATCTGAACATCAACCATGATTTCTGCACCATCACGATGTCGCGCGGGGAGGCCGGTTGGCCGCAGGAAAAGGGACGCTGCGTCAACTTTTCCATCGCGAAGGATGGACAGCGCTCGAGCCCTCCGAAAACTGTGTTCTGGGATAACCATCCCATCCACCAGTGGGATGTTATCATACTCTGTTAGGGTATCAAGGAATGAATCGAAATGGGGTATGAGATCTGTTATGTGCACACCCTTTACGCAGGTATGGCCAAAAAGTGACGAGGCAAAAATCGGATTAGCACTGATAATGTTCAGGGTATCCGGCGACAAAACCAACATCCCTGCGATATGGGGAAAGCTGGATATGCGAAGAGTGCTGGTTTCGTGGAGACCTGTCACTGTTGTTGGAATGGATGCCCCAGGAGACGCTGAGGCGGTGAAGAATTTCAATTCATTCAGTTTGGAGAAGTTCAGAGCTTCAGAGTTAGGAGTGATTGTAGGAATGTAAGGCAAAAGCTCTCGAACCGGAGTCCCTGGTTCAATGTTTTTGCGGTCCCAAATGTTATTCGCATCGCCTCTTGCATCGACGACACGGCCATTTTCATCACAGCGAATATTCACAAGGTGCTCTGGTATCTCCTCCACTACCCATATTAAACCACCTTTTTTCTCCATCACCCACAAGCTTGCGGAACCAGTGAGCCCATTACGTTTCTGAATGGGGACGACGTCGCCGCATATCAGCACACCACGAGATTTGGTTGGAGTGTGATTAGGGCTTCTCCCCCGTCTGGCAGATCCATGGCTAGAGTGGCTATCATTGCGATTCCTAGACCTGGTCAACCGCGCCGGAGCTTTGCTTAACAACTGGGCTGTCACACCATTACCGAAATTAATCGGTCGTGAATTATGCCCATTCGACTGAGATGATTTTACACCCGGGGATTCAGAGCTCGGATAAATGCTCGTGGCTTTCAGCTTCGACACAAGCCACTCGCGTCGTTCTTCTTGAACGAGGTCTAAAATACTTAACTTGCGAAATTCTCTTCGAGTAATGCCGAAAACTAGGCATGCCAGGTCATTAGCAGCGAGAATAGTCCATCGGGGAGTCGCATCCGTTCTAAACACAGCTTGGGACGCGGGTGACCATTTACTGCTGTGTGAATGCACAGCAGGCGTGGTAGTTCCAATGGCAAAGGAAGTGGTGCTTCCAGGGGATATAAGATCTGTGGCGGAATATGGCTGCGTCGACAATGCTTCCATAAGTTTATTCTGCAGCGAGGCGGACCCAACATCGGTATAAGTCCGTTTTAGGCTAACACGCCTTGATGCTGGAGCGGATTTCAGTCCTCGCGCTCGAGGTATTCTATGACCCTCTGAAGCAGCCAAAAAACGCCCTGACTCTGCAGCTCGTTCCAGGTACTCTGATCCAGTCTCACCTTCATCTTCAATTGGTCCAAGTGACGGGCTCGCGAAAGCTTTGTCGAATATATTGTCGCCATTCAGATCAGGAGGGCCTGTAGCGGGGCCCATTAACAGCCCAGGCAGTCGATGCTGCCCCTTACTGGCCTCGCGAAGATTAGCTCTTGCCACCAAGTCGACCATGCTCTGAACTTCTGGGTCGCCGCTCAGCTTGGCTTGAGCGTGGGCAATTCCTGTACTGCTGGCGGCCCAGCCAAATCGGTCTCTCATGAAATCTATCGTTCTCTTGAGCACATTATAACGGGTGTGGAGCATCTCTTCTGACTGGCGAGCAAAAGAGAAGGAGTGTAATGATTCCGAAGGGAACCTGTGGAGGTCCTCGAGTTCGGGTGAAGTAATGTCTGAAGGGCCAGATGCCCCGGAAGAAGTATTCGATTGAGTTGGCGTGATCGTTGTAGAGGCAAGGGAGGAGGTGGAGGTCATGGGTATGGATGGCGCTCTGCTCTGTGGTCTTTGGCGAATTCGGGGTAAACCCGACGGCGCAGGGCCATGGTCAGCTTCGAGTAACGGCGACCTGGCAATTATCTCCATATCAATCATTTGCCGAGCATTTGTCAAACTAACAGCGTCCTAACCTTGTCAAGTAATCATACTCTGATGACCCGGTGTCGATGGATAGGCGTTTTCCATGACTGAATCCACTGTCCTCTTGATGCAACGATGGCAGTCTGCCCAACGACTCTTCCGACTTTTGGGCTGACATTTGGGATGAGGAGCGAATTGGCGTCTGGTCGGTTGAGGAAAGATCTTGCTCGCCTAGCTCGCATACTGTCAGTTACAGCGCTCAAATACAAGGGCCTAACGACTAATGGTGAGAAGACAACCCATTATCTTCATGTTTCTTTAATAGATAGTATGCGATTTATTCTTTCAAGGTATATGGTTTGCTCCCAGGCTTCCGCCAGTGATCGATATCCTGGACTTTGGGCATAATTTAGGCAGCGGCTAAGATTACAGTTACGGCGGCTGAAACGACTCCAGGTGCCGCAGAGAATCGCCGCATGCTTGGAGAGATCGAGGAGTAACAGGTCAAGTAGGTATTCAAATGGGAATTTGCACTAACCATCGTCAGGATGTGGAGTTCCGGCGTTCATGTTGGCTTTCGTCATTTGAAGACGACGGGCGGAAGAACGGGCTGGAGAGGCGAAGCTGCCCACAAGGAGACAGCTAGGAAGAGCCACGCAAAACGATATGTAATTCTTCAATCTCGAGGGAGCATAGTATCAAGCACCGAGCAGTTACTTCAAGAGGTTGGGCTGAGGAGAGATGGCTCGAGCTCCGGGGATGTGTGCCTAGCGCCGCGGGACGTCCCAAGGTCAGCCTTGTAGAGATGAAAGGGATTAGCGCTGTGAACCTCAGGCTGGCTGAGTCAAGGTGCACCACATGGCAAAAGCCTTCATTTGTGGTGCTGTGCGCGGCCACTCTTGTGTCTTGCCGCTGGATGTCTGAGATGCAGGGTGGGCAAACCTGTGTCACGAGTGCGGACAATGAGGGAAAAAAAGTCAGAAACAACTGACAGATCGAGAGGAGGGACCTAGCGAGGCAGGTGACGGAATGACTCAATGCCTATTGACTGCAGAATCCGACTAACCAAGAATCACTGATGGAGGAATGATGGTAAGGAATTTGAAGCTCGCAACTGAAGGCTTTTCTGGGAGGACGGAGCTGCTGATCTCGAGGCTGGATCCCAATGACGGTTGGCCAAGACCACGTACGAGCCCTTCGGAAATGCCGTTTGCATGAAGCCAAACCGGCCGGTCAGCTGCGGGCGGCTGTTGCCAGCGCTGAACATTTGACGATGAATTCTGAAGAACGGAGAGAGCTGCTACAAGCACTACCAGCTTCAGTCTGCAGCACAATTGAAGCTCTTCCGCGCGGATGTCGCCTGAAATGGCCATGCGGGGCAACCCATTCAAGTCACTCATTTAGTTGGCAACAACCTTCGGCCAGGTAGCTCTCCGCTGGTTACCCCGCCAAAAATACAACGGCCCAAGTACCCTCCTCTTCGTCGGGGGAAACAAGGATACATGTGATGTGAATACCATGCGTGGCGAACATCGTCGGGCTAACTAACTGCTGCTAATCATACTGTGGAGTTGTGGCGGATGATCGCACCTGAGAACTGGCTGTGCATCTTGACGTAGTGGGCGTTACATCACAGAGGCCCCATGAAAGGGGGCTGTTGCAGCCGACCCTTGGGGATTGTTGAGATCGGTTCTCGATGCTGATCTCCCTTTTTAGTTCCACCTGGACGGGATTACAATAAAAGGGGAATGCGGATTTGTTCGACGCCTCGTGCGAAAACTTGGAGAACTTGGATTGCGTTCCGAGGATTTATATCCAAGATGGAGAATGGAAATGGCTTCACGAACAACACTACGGATGTGAGAGCAAGTAAAAGACAAGTCTTGCCAATTAGACATCATTACTCTTTTGATATCCCTGGTAATCGCTCTAGAACAAGTACATCATTATCCGCTTCATCAGTTCGTCTACGCTTATCATCGCTACGCTGATCTCTAAACAGCGGAGCTGCCCTTGTGCGAGATTCAGACTTCCGCAAGTGTTCTGGCGGAGCGGACGCACATGGTGCAAAGGCCGAACGATTTTCCTTTTCTCCCAGCATCCACGAAAACGATGATTCGGCCAGTGACGCACGCGGCGCGGGTCTAATTGGCATGGGGTTCAGTAAATTATCAGTTTGGGAGTTTTTCGCATTCAAGGGCAGCGAGGAACTAGATGATGAGCTGCTTTCCGCGCCTCCTAGGGGTTCGGTTTTGCTGGTAAGAGTTTGGTTGCGCTTCTCGGCAGGCCGGCTTTTCATCACCCTGCCATCATTCCTATTGATGGTCATATCTTTCACCTTTTCCGGAATTGGAATGGACGAATCTTGGAGCAATTCTCGCACACGTTCAATCTTCTCACGAATCTGATCCATATTCCCAGTGGAGGTATTACTTTCCGCACCTTTGGGTTCTGGTTCGTGAACTTGTAGGTCTTTTAACGCGTCTCCAAGCATGCTCGCGAGGGCTTTGTTTCGGTTTTCAAGTGATATTATTTTCAGGCTCAACTCTCGAGAGGCAACAGCTTCAACTCTTGAGGGTATGGATAATCTCGGAGTCGACCCGCCTTCTGGCCGCAGTGTAGGCGTTGTAGGGCTGGAATGGATACCTTGAATATTGCGTCGAGCCTCAACCATTGCTCCGCGGACCACTCTAGCAACTCCCCATCCTTCTGTACGTCGATAAATACCGTCGGATACGTCTTGAAATAAAGAGTCCAAGCGCTTTTGATTTATCCGCAGTGGCGACCTGCTTGGCGAAGTTCGTCCGCTAGCACGGGAGCTGATATCCCTGCTCTGAGAATTCCGCTTCTGCGAAGCCGTTTGGGCTCCTTGGAATTGCAGCCTGTGACCCTTGAAATCTGGCGATTTGCCCGAATATTTCGAAATTAAAAGTTCTCCGCCATCCAGCGTCATGTTCTCTTCTAGAAACAAAGCATCACGAAGGAAGTCTGCTGGCTTTTGTGGCTCAGGGGATGGATATCTTAGAAGTATCAGGAGCGCGGATGAATAATCGCATGACAATACTGAAAGCTGTTAGATCTAGTTCATAAACTAATAGAAAAGCCCTAAAACTTACATTGCCATCTGATTCTTAGCAGCATCGAAACACAGACCAGCTCTATGAGCTCAGTTCGAAGGTCAGTAAATAAAAGATCCCACAAGGAGAGCATATCCTGAAACGAAAACTCCCTTCCGAAAAATAGACGGAGCCAGCGGCTATAAGCCAAGTCAGTTTCTCAAGTGAATCAGCGTCCTTATAAAACTCACGTAAGGTATATTTGCGGTAGGATTTCAATAGATTGCAAATGAGCCGCTAATTCCGGGTCAACGCTTCCCAGCATAATTTGATGAATGTGTTGACTTCGGACAATGATAGACGATACGGTTTGCTGGTCTGACCCCGATTTCATTTCATTATGTTCATAAAAGAGCATCGCGGTTTGCATGATCGCACAGAAAATCGCAAAAGCATCATGTTCTATATAGTCCGAATCCAGCGTTTGCAGCAAGAGCTGATCGTCTACGCTTGAAGGACTATGGTTGGTGAGTGCGTCTTTGGCCACTGCATCTTGCCAGATCACCCATAGCACCGGCGCCAGCAATTCATGCATCCCTTGTCGATAGCCCAGGTCGGGGTTCAACTTCACGAAGATGAATAAGATGTCCAACATCATGCGTTTCGTGGTAGGTTCCCGAAAGAAGTAATTTTCCTGGAGGCATCTTTCCACATCTTGGTAAATTTCGGCTCGAATTGTCTCGTCTTGACGAAGAGTCTGCCATGGGGACTGCAATGGTTTAGAGCGCTGCGTGCTTCTCTTTTCGAGCAGGGGGGACATACATCGTCATCTTCAGCCAATGGATCTGCTGCTGATGGCAAATCATCCGGGTGTTCAATGTACTTTAGGAAGTGCTCTCTCAACGCAGTATACGCATCTCTTGAGTCCAATAGCTGTGCGGGCCAGGACGCCCGATCAAGGTTCTTGTGAACGAGAAACGCCTGTCACCAATTTGTTAATTGACAAAGCAACCGAGTCTCGGCAGGGCACCTCACCTTCCAGCAGACCGACCTTAAACCAACTTCACACAACTTACTGCCTGTCTTGGACTTTATTCTCTGTGCCAATTCTTCCAGTGAGTCGCACTGATACTGGTGGAACAGAACGTTCCATCGCTGGCTGAACAGACCCAATGTTAGCTTGGACACTGTTTCACTGCTGGCTAAAGGAATTTGCGAACCGCGACTCCCCTGCAGTTCTCATGGCATCATAGGCGCTCTCTCAACATTGCTTTGTTGCTCATCCAGCAGGTGATTCTGTTTACTGTTGTGGTCACTCGGAACGAAGATCATGCAGCTTTAGAATGACGCAGTTTGTTATCGCCAGCTCTTAGCGCCTGATTGCGATTCTTGGCACATCCCCTCCCTGGTGGACGCGTTCGATGCTGAACAACAGCAGCTCAGTGACTCTATCAAAGCAGAATTAACAGATGGAAGTCTAAGCGAGACCCGGGTAACTGAGGTCGAGGGACAATACGGGGTTGATCCTCGTCGCCAATTGTGACGCATCCATTTGGGAGTTTCTTGCCCTGCGGCAACAATGTCTGCGGACCTTTTCGCGGAATTTGGCAATCCAAGTTCTCTCAATAATCCGGTGAGAGGATCATCAGACTGGAGTACCAAACCGTCGAACTCCGCGGGCCATTCCCAACCTAGGAACCCCAGAGTTGATACTAATGGGGACTCTACACTCATAGACTTCTCGTCCGACCCGCTACCGCCCATCCCTTGTGAACAGGGACCGGACAGAAGCGCGTATGGAATAGGGTCAAGTGAAGTTCTGTTTGATGCAACGGTCGAATCCGCGCCCGGCGAGCCTGACGAAGACGACTGGGGCGAATTCGAGTCCGCGAGACCGGAATCGACAGGAGAAGCGGCCCTTGGATTATCTGAGATACGGGGGACAGAAGGCATTGTTTGCAGTGAAAATCAAGATAAACCGGGAGCTCCCGTTCCAAAATCCATTTTGCCACCACTATTAGACCTTTTATCGGTCGAAAACTCGAATCCTCCCCCCAAAAGCCCAGTCCGAATCCCTCTGGCTTTGGATTGCAATGTCCAACTTAAGTCGCCTGTAATTGAGCCACAGGGAGGTTCTGATCCCGTCACAGCATGGCCGGACTTTGAGGAAGAAGACGACTGGGGGGAGTTTACAGATGGAATTGACGAGGGAAACAAGCCGGTCGAGCCTGCATCGTCCCTATCTTCGAAACCCCGCGTATCGAATGTGGAAGCAAGCGCAGTATCCCGAGCTGTTAACCCTCCCGCCAAAGCAGTGAGGCCTACCAACATCCCCCCTCCTTCTATTCTTCTCCGATTGTTCCCTCCCGTGTTAGAAAAACTACGCGTAAATGCGACGAGTTTTGTTTCACGCGCTAAGAGGAAGCCCGTGTCCTCAATTGATACCGGCTTAGCGGAGGAAATTACATACAACTTGAAAGTTCTGGTGCACATAGTTGCCGGACGCAGCTTTCGCTGGAAGCGAGACTCGATATTAAGCCAAAGCACCAAGATAGGCCCTGCGTCCGGGAGGTCTGGAGGGATGAAACTGAGTAGTGTTGACAAAAGCGAGAATGTCAGAGAGGAGAAAGAAGCAGTTGAAGTCCTTGACTTGTGGAAAGAATGCAACGGACTCTTAAACTCTGCGATTACGGCGGGAGGAAAGCCGCCTGTCCAGCTAGTAACTGGCAATGTGCGCGTGAGAAGTGCCGCGACTCATGAAGGTGCTCTGAAAGCGGCGCATGCATGTGCTCTGTGTGGTCTGCGGCGGGAAGAACGAGTACCACAGATTGATGAAAGCGTTGATGATATTTTTGAGGAATGGTGGATTGAGCATTGGGGCCACACCGGCTGCAAGCGGTTTTGGGATTCTAATTCGGCAAACTTGGATCACCGTTGACGGCATTCTTGTTCTCTAGACTCTCAACCGATCTCGGGGACATGCAGATCGCACCCAAGACGAAGAGAGACCGATCAAGGGCCTGAGGCATCGAATACCGTCAAAAGGCGAAGTCCTGTCCTTGATCCGTTTGTCGATATTTGTGCTGTACCGACATCATTCTCACGGACAAACTTGATAATGTTTGTATTAGCCGACATGCAATGCAGAAATCCTTTCCCACCTGCATCCGGTGAAACTTGCGGCTACCTGCCAGTTTCGATGCGGTTAACCTGAGCCTGAATGTCGTACATACATATGCATGCATACCTAGCACTGTCATAGATAGATACCCAAAATGCAGAGTAATTCAGTTCTTTTCCAGCACAGAGTGGACCAAGATTCAACGGTGGCGATGTGCTCTATGCTCAGCCTCTAATAACTAGGCCAGCAATCTTTGGTGTCATTGCGGTGTTCAGGTGAGCAATCAAGGGCGTGACTGGCCTTGGGGGTTTGAGTTACTGAGCCAAATTGTCCCCATTGCACGGCAACTCACTTTCTCCGAGACTACTTAAGTTTGCCCAACTCCTCCCGATTCCCATTCTCCTCACTTGCCCCTACATCATCCTGTCTTCTCATTGTTGGCTGTGCCTCTTCGACGACATTTGACAAGGAAATTACAGGCTGCAATTGCCTGTCCTCACTGCCTGGTTGCAAAGCAAAGCAGACTCTCTCTCTATCGCAATTGCCGCTCTCTCGCTATCTTATCGCCGGGCCGATAAGCACCTGTCGTCCGCCTTCTTATCGGCCACTTCTTGCTCCCAAAGACGTCAGAGCTGGCATCAGATCTTCCCAAGCAAAACATCCAGTGCTCTCTCAAGCTGTTTAAAATTCCTAGTCCTGAGTCACGCGAAACTGAGCCAGATAGCTTGGCTAGTTAGTTCCACTGGCCACTTGCCTGAGGGTGGATCACCGCATAGACTGTCCGGAGAAACGATCTGCACATCCCAGGAGCCGAAAGGTGCTAACCTTGAGTGAATTCAGACTATCAACTTCATTTAACCCTTGGGGCAATCCCCGCATTGTTGCACCAGCATTTTACATACCCCTGGGCCCTGGCCTCAAGCAAATCACACCACCCCTGAAGACTCGCAAGCGCTTTCGAAGTCGTTTGAACCCTTCCAGCAATCTCGCTCCTACTAAACAAACCGGCTAGCTAGTTTCTAATTGCCTTTTTGCGTGCACCAATTCACTAGGGCCACGAACTTGGTTGTGCGTGAAGGTAGGGGAGAACACTGTCGTGATGGGACTCTCATACAATACCTACATTAATTCGGGCAAGGTATTTGGGTGCAAGCATTGCAAAACCCATCTTGCGGATTACCATGATATCGTAAGCCGGGTGAGTGGTGTTTCTTAGTTAGTTGCCTGAAGACTTATGGCAACATCTACTGATATAATTGCTACCCCTAGAACTTCCGGGGCCAGCATGGCAAGGCGTATCTCTTCAACAACGTCGTTAACGTCAACCAAGCCGAAGCCGTGGAACGGAACATGACGACCGGTCGGCATATCGTTCGGGACATCATTTGCAGACAATGCAGGGAGACGGTGGGCTGGAAATACGATAAAGCATTTGAGAACAGCGAAAAGTACAAAGAGGGCAAGTTCATCCTAGAGGCAGAACTCCTCTGCGTTATATATTAGCCAGCATCAAGACGTTCGCATGGCCATCGCGGTGCCTGATTTCACCCGAAAGCCAACCATTTAGAGACTCAACTGCAAATATCGGCGCATAACATAGCGAGTCACCGGTGCTTTTTCTTTCCAGCTTTCAGAAGGCGTTAACTAGTCAGGGTTTCGAGGATGGCGGCTACGGTGCTTCGGGTGTTTTGTTCACATCATGCTTGACCTGATTTATTCTTCTCATATGATCTAAATTGGCGCAGATTGCATTGAGAATGAGAGAGACGATTATTGTTAGTTAACTACTTGGCCTCTGTCCAGGTCTCGAAGTTGTTACAACGTGTTTCTTGGGCACGGGTTCCAGTTAATATGATCCAGACTGAATACAAGGGTAGCTATTTATTATACAGACCAAGTTACTCCGTACTTCAACCGTAACTCACTGATGATTGAGCTGCATCGGTTTCTATGTTTGTAGTTTAGAGTGGCTGGTTCTCACTCTACATGTTGGAAGCTTGAGCTGCTTCGCCCTTTCTCTCCTGCTACTCTACACATATCAACTGCTCTCAACAACACAACTGTGAATAACTGAGGGAGACGGTGGCCCGGCGAAATTTATATTTTGGTTCGGAAACTAATAAACGCCATCCTTTCCTGTCCATTGCTCGCCAAAAAAAAACTACATGTGATCCAACCCACCTTGATGGAGACAGTGTAGCTCCGCCCGATTCATTGACAGAGAACACGCCCGCACATCTCCTGTCTGACCTTGACTTCACCCAGGAAAAAATGATTCATCTTGACTGATCACAGTGTTATGGCTACATTTCGGCGTCGATTTGGCGACATCTTCAGCCCCAATACTTCCGCCCGTCCTGCCGCCGTCGCGAGCTCCGATTCCCTGCCCCAAATTCCTCCTAATAAATCGAACGACAGCACAGAAGCCACACCCAACGAGCAAGAGGTCAATGCCGAAAAGCTTAGAATAAAAGAAACCCGGGTGCGAGGGCCCATAAAGGTCCCAGAAGGGTTTGTGACGAAGAGGAGGAGCAAACGGCGGAATGGATTGATATTTGGGCTGGGAGGAGTGTTTGGGATCTTCCTGGCCCTGTTTTTTGCGAATCACAATGAAGTTATCAGCTTAGACGCGTTGATGGACCTGAACCTCGATTCGTTGATCGACGTTGTTCCCGCCGGCATTTTGAAAGATGCCAGTGAATTTTCGGTATGTTTCGAGATTCTACCGACCTTGCTTGAGTTTTGCCATTATTCGTATTTATAAAGCTAACGCCTGTGTATTTGAATTAATAGAAACAAGAGCGCGATGCCGATTAGCTATGATGCGTTTCCCGTTGGCCTTAACCTCCAGGCGCAGGGCGTCCCACGCGAAACACCCGATTATTATGATTCCAGGAGTTATATCAACCGGGTTAGAGAGCTGGGGTACGGAAGAGAAGTCACGGCAGTATTTTCGAAAACGGTTATGGGGAAGTTGGAGTATGATGAGAGCGTTGGTGCTAGACAAATCAGGCTGGAAACAACATATAATGCTGGACAAGGAAACTGGGATGGATCCCCCCGGAGTGAAGCTACGAGCTGCTCAAGGATTCGATGCTACGGACTTCTTCATAACAGGTTACTGGATTTGGAACAAGATCCTGGAGAATCTTGCGACAATTGGATACGATCCGACCAACGCTTTTTCGGCTGCCTACGACTGGCGCCTTTCTTATCTAAATCTTGAAAACTTGGTTCATTATTTCACCAAACTAAAGAGTCATATGAAGCAGCCGTTCAGCTTTCGGGCAAGAAAGTGGGTGTGGGCTTCGCACAGCATGGGCTCACAGGTAGCCATGTTCTTCTTCAAATGGGTTGAGCACGAAAAATACGGTGGCGGAGGCCCTCAGTGGGTTGAAAAGCACATTGATTCATGGATAAATGTCAGCGGTTGCATGCTCGGTGCAACGAAAGGTCTTACAGCGGTCCTATCCGGTGAGATGAAAGACACAGCCCAGCTGAACGCGTTCGCAGTCTACGGGCTCGAAAAGTTCCTCTCCAAAGAGGAGCGCGCCGAGATATTTCGTGCCATGCCAGGAATATCTAGCATGCTCCCAAAAGGCGGGAATGCTGTTTGGGGAAACAATACCTGGGCTCCTGATGATCGCCCTGGCCAAAATTTCACATATGGGAACTTTCTAAAATTCCGCGAATCAAATTCCTCTTGGACAAGACAGAATCTCACTGTTGAAGGCAGCCTACAGTACCTTTTCAACAGTACGGAGCCCTGGTTCCGGAACCAAGTCCATCGGAGCTACTCTCACGGTGTAGCGCGGACCCGTAACGAAGTTGAAACCAACGAAGCTGATCCCCGCAAATGGCTCAACCCGCTCGAAGCCCGTCTGCCGCTTGCCCCGAACCTCAAAATATACTGCTTCTATGGCGTGGGTAAGCCCACGGAACGAAGCTATTTCTACCGTGAAGACAATGACCCGCTGACCAAATTGCGCGTGAGTATTGATACTTCTGTGACAAATGGGGATGTTGACCACGGGGTGGTAATGAGCGAAGGGGACGGGACAGTGAACCTGTTAAGTTTGGGCTATATGTGCGCAAAGGGCTGGAGGATCAAGAGGTATAACCCCGCGGGTGCGAAGGTGAAGGTTTATGAGATGCCTCATGAGCCTGAGAGATTCTCACCCCGGGGTGGACCAAACACTGGTATACACCCCAATCATTTTACCACCGCTTTTATCAAGGGACGAAACCATGCTAATATATGTACAATTTTCAGGCGACCATGTTGACATCCTTGGGCGCTCCTCCCTCAATGAACTCATTCTCCGCATCGCAGGCGGCAGAGGCGATGAAATTGCAGAACACTATGTCTCGCGAATAAAAGAGTACGCAGGCAATGTTCAAATATATGATGATGATTGAAAATCCGCAGAGTGCTTTGAATGAATAGGTTGATACCTACAATCACCAAGAACAAAGTCCTTCCCTGTTCCGCATTTTGCCTAGGATAGTACCTACTTAACTCTAGGCAGAGTCACACACCAGAATTAGGCTTCTTGTGTATGAAGCAGTTTGAACTACCTTCTGTGGAAGCCATCTGGATATATATAGCTTTCATAGGCACATGCAGTGTGCTATATTACAACTAGACCAGTTATAGGTCCATGCATTTGCCTCCAAGAGATCAGTATAATAGAAGGATGCAACCGCTATGAGAGCATATGGGGGCACCTACTCACTTACAAGGTATAGACTTATAGTGGATAGCGCATTAAGCAATTATTAGTAACAAGTCTTATCAATTCATGGAGTCGTGAAATTGTTCATGAGATTAAGTATCTGTACATGAATATCTCTAAACCAGGAGCAATAAGTTCACTGCCTTCCCGCACCGTGGTCATTGGATCTCTAAAGGAAACGAAAACGGAAATATGCGCTAGAAAAAGCAAAAAGGGGGATTACACTAAAAATCAAAAGTTGAGAAATACCAAGTACCAATGATCGTATCCGTAGCCAGTGAAAGAATGCCTGGTTTCAAGACGGCGAAGGCATAGAGTGATTGTATTTAACTCGTAAAAATTGATGGCAAACCGGTCCGAAGTTAAAAAGCCAGTATGCCTTTCTGCTTGCCGGTCGGTACTTTCAGTTGGTAATGGCTCTCATATTAAGGTATCTTCCACACCTAGATCACAACGATCTAATCGAGACATGCTTGGTTTACCTGAACGAATGGACAGGGCCGTACGTTATCAACGTTGCCCGTATTAGTTGGTAAAATAAGCAGTCTCGCAGGGAGTGAAAAGATAATATCGGCGCTATATATTGTTGATATAAAGTAGCGCAGTGACGGATGCAGGTCGACGAAGCTTTGTAAAAAGTCGCAAATAGGGATCATTTTGCGCATGATCATTGTCAATCCCGAAGTCGTCGCAAGACCACCGTCATATGCTATGTATCACTAGTCGCACCGCCTCGAGAATGGCTAACTCGAAGTTCAAATCTTCGAAGTATAATCCGGTAAAAACGCACCACTAGTCCGCCGTGACGAATGTTGACCACGGCTTTCAAAGCGATTTAATATATTCAAACGAACGAGAAAGTGACATCGTGTCACACGTCTATAGGTGCTCATGTCCATGATCCGAAACGAACGCTATCAATGCAATCCTATCCGTGAAGCCGAACTCCCCAAGCCTAAATGGCACACGAGCACAGCGAGTGTAAGCGAAAAACAGGTGGATCGCTAAATTCCATATTCCTAGCCCGAATGCGTCAAAGATATATACGAAACGGGTATATCCAAGCTGTTGTCGTATCATGCATTAAATTTGTACGCACGAACTCGAAAGTATGTATAGCGAGGTTGTAAACGCAACATTGTTGCAGCTAGGGCGCCCCAGTGCGGATGCAGATAAGTTAACCGTCACGCTCGACAACTCGAGGTATATCCATTCCAGTATCGAAAAGTTCCCCATAGAAATTAATATTATAAGCGCCGTATCCTTTCGATTTCCAGAGAAGTGAACCGTGGTAAATCAACGAATAGATTGAAATTCCAGAACCATCAGCCGCTATGAAGGGTTATCCAATAAAAGCGCCATGGCCGGGTAAAAGGCGAAGGTGAGCTCCAAAAAACCGCAAATCAGTAGACAGAACAATATTAAAAGTCGTATCATATGTAAAATCAGCGCCGGCTTCAAAGACGAAGAAGAATTTCATGGCGTGTGGGGAATCATATCTGTCGGTAAGATGGGTGTGAGTGACATGCTTAGTTGGGAGTCATCCTTTGGAAAGAAGTGGTCATCGGCCCGCTTCCAGATCGGAGTTCCCTCCTACTGTATCACCGTCCCAAATTGACTGGGCTTCGTCAACGGGGCTCAAAGATCCCGAAGAAATTGAGGAGGAGGATCCAACTGTCCATTCATCGCTGTCGGTTTGGAACTCCCCATGTAATGTGGCCATATCGTAGTTGTAGGTATCCGTTTGGTCGCCAACTTCAACGTAGTCATAATCCCATCTCAAAGGTTTGTCATGTTGCATACGAGGAATGAACCTTGCTTTAGCATAATAGAAGGTGACTGCCGCTAAAAGACTGCCGCCGACCAAATCAACTGCATAGTGATGCGAAAGATACATGGTCGCCCACCATACCCATAGGGTGTACACGATGAATAGAGCGCGGAATCTGGGAAAGAGATGGCTCATAAAAAGGGCCTCAATCGTTGCGTTAGCGGCGTGAAGGGACGGGAATGCGCCAAATGGCACCGGGGAAGCCGTGAATCCTGAGGTGTATAAATCAAGGCCAAGCAATTTGTCGATGCGTGCGAGACCAGCTGGAGAGCCGTGCATACCGTAGTGGGCCGGTGCTAGGCCATACATGTTCTCGTACCATGGCGGGGAACATGGGAAGAGGAATTGGATCATTGAGCCAATCACATTCATATATCCAAAGCTCCGACCGAAGATCGGAGCGAGTCCTGGCGGGCCAAAGACGAAGAAGATCAGCGTGCACACTGCAGGTGCGCCGAAATGAATAATGCCGTAGGGTAGCCAAGCTAGGACATCTAGAACGACATTCTTATGCGTGGAGAGTATATTACTGAGGTTCGCCCCATAGAATATATTCTCGAGCGCAGGAAGAACGCGTACCCAGATTGGAGGTCTCCAATTGCTTGGTATAAATCTACAATTGCAACGATTAGCGTCATGATCACAAACGTCAGAGATATGTTAGACTTACTTCATAGCATACCAAAAGACTAACCAAGCAATCGTCGGCAGGGCTGGGAGAAGAATTTGGGAAGTAATGGGCAGAATCAGGGAGATTAGAATAACTAGAGAAATTAAGGTCTTTGCAAGCGGTCCAGGAGACTCTGTAATGGATAGAACAAAAATCCCGATTATCGCCAGTAACAAGTATTGTCCATCATAGACCGTCCAACGATGCGATTGCAGAGACTTTAGGGTATCCAGAGGTGAGAATGACGTTTTCAGCGAGGATATCGACGAAGAAGGGGATAGTCGACTGCGCAATTTGGACCGTAATCTTCGCCGCACACGATGCGGAAAGAGCAGTTGCAGAGACCGCCATGGTATCATCACCGTTACTTTTCCAAGGTATTTTTGAGAATTATCTTTCCATGATGGCATAGCCGAGTTGATCACACCAGCCATCTCGAGAGCTCCGGCACCTAGGCAGACGTCGCGTTCAGGAGGAGGGCGAAGTAGAGGGGAGTCAACAGATGACCGAATCGGGTAATCGAAGCCAGGGAAGCCGTCGTGGAGCGCTGTATCTCGATTGGCGGTCGACAGCACCCAGAGCGGTTCAACCAAACCAAGCTGGACAAGGAGCTGGAAGCTGAGGTTTGGTGGTAGGATCGCCTGTTAAGATCTTGGCTGCGCGATCTCGCTACCCGACTGGAAGTGACACCACGAGGACAACCAGGCAGGTCAGCAAGGCGGAAGGGGTAGCCGATGAGACGGAAACGGGGTGAGGGTGAGGTGAAGGGACGAGGTCTGCAGAAGAACGAGCAGCGAAGCACGGCGGCCGGAGGGAGAGAGGGAGCGGAAGAGAGAGGGAGAGAGAGAGCGCGAGAAGAAGAAGAGAGGAGCTGAGCAGGTCTTTTTGCAGTCAAAAGACGAAGAAAGGGTTGTGTAATAAAAAACGGAGATGAAACGGCGGGACCACAGCGTAATGGCAGAGGGAGGGCAATTTTCACGAGCGTTGATTGGGCGACTGTTTGATTACAGCGTCCTAGCCGTATTACACTGTGTATTATCTGCTTCGCTTTAGGCTGGGCGTTGGTAACGGTACTTGATCTCCGATCTCGTAAAGTTACCGCAACGCTAACCAGTTCCGCGGAAGTCGCGGAGATCTGCGTCCCACAGGAGCGCACATGATCATTTTCTCGATTCGATCCTCTGCGCAGCTCGTTGAAGGACTCTCTGATATCAGGCCAGCAGCTTGACGAGGCGAAGAGTGGGAAAGTGCTCCTTTGGGGGTGGTTCAGATTCATGGGTCAATTCAACGCCCAAGCTTGGGTGCCAGAGCTCAGAGCTTCCGATGAAACAGGATCACAGAAAAGCATGGCTGGTAAGTTTCTGGCCAGTAAGAAGAGAGAACGAGCCATATCAGGGTTAAAGCATTTCTTAGTGGTTAGATTTTCGGAGGTCACTCGCATCCTGATTGGCCACTATAACGATATTTAATCTGATCGGGAAGCCGTGATGAAAAGGGTGCTGTCTTGGCCTGTATCCCGCTAGTATCGCATAAATACACTGGCGCGCGCCATGCCAAGAATGCTGTCATGATGCATAAAAATGTGCTGGGCGGCTGCTTGTGACCGTCGAAAAACAGCTCGCTTTTCTGTTGTTGCCAGCGACATCCCCGGCTGGCGGGTTTGGCTGTGTTCCGTTGAACTCTGCCGCGCAAACAAGAGCACGCGCAAGCTAGAAAAATGAAGGCTCAGCAAGCAGGAAGACCGCGCGTGCCTCTGTTTCAAGTGTATGAATGCCTGGTGGCTCAGACACTGCGGCCCATGTCATCCATCATCGCAACTCCAGCCTCCCTTTGACGCATGAAACAACTCGATCTCTCCAGCAATTTGGGCAAAGCTGCGACACGAGAAAATTACCCAGAAGAGGAGCCCGTCTCGACGCCAGGGGACGCGATCAATAATGTCGAGGAGCGTCGCACTCTGTACAGCCCGAAAAAGAATGCTGTTGCCTTGAAGCCGGCTTGCTCTCCACCAATCATCCGGATTCCGACCCTTTCCTTGCAAGCCTACCCAAACGAGGTCTTTTCGGGCTTTTCTCTCGGCGACTCTGCTGCGATATTTCCGGGTTTCAGTACAGAGAGAACCCGGAAGCTGGCATGGAAATTGTGAAAAAAAAAAAAGCTCCCCCCATTTGGCTTCCTGGAGCCAGGAAACGGTGCTTTCCGTCCCATGGATCGGCAACGAATAGCCGCCAATGTAAAGGCAAATTTTTCTCCCAGATCTGATCGAAAAACCAAGTTCGTCTATATTTACTCGGGGCTAACCAGTTCGATTGTGCAACGGACAAAGGGCTCGGCGATATTCATCCTGGTACATCGACCAAGTTGTGCGGTTGCGAATTCGGGGAACCCCAATGCTGCGACGGACTGGAAACATGTCAGCGCTTAGCTTTCGAGCCATGACGCGCTATGGACCCTTGGAGTCATTTTAAAAAGCTCGGAATGGAATAACTAGTGGAAAAGCTCCTGCCTTTGGGAGGTTCTACGGAGCGCCTGTATCTCTACAGGACTCGCACATTTCCGTATAAACCTCTCGCTTGCAAATTCCAGCTGGGCTCAACTTTTCAAGAATGACTTTTGATCAGAAAGTCTAATCCGACGTTGTTACCGTGGGCAGCTTAAACATAAGCTTGCCGCTTCCATGAACCTTTCCAGGACCATGTGAATATCTTTCAAGCTATCAAATGCTGGGCAAGAAGGCTGGTTACGTCACATCTAATTGTATTACCTCTAACGAAGTTGGCCAGTGGGTTATTTTCAATACTCTACGGAGTATAAGTCGCAGCATGCTTCAAAACAAACAACAAAAAAGTAGTATTATCTTGGATCAGAAAGGCACCCATGATTATTTACAACCCTCCCGCGGTCCTTGCCCAATTTGATAATATAAATGAAACATCTCACAAATGACTTCTTGCTTGACTACCATGAAGAATTGATAACATCTCACCTTTCGGCTTCCACACAGCCACCCCCGGATTTTCCAACAGGGTCTTTTCTAGAAAGGTGAATAAAAAGTAACCGTGCATAAATATTGGTGCTTTAAAGCTTTGGTTTTTTTTTTTTTTTTTTTTTTTTTTTTTGTGAAAAAGGACACAATAGCCAGACAGCATCTCTGGTGGTCCTGGTGGCTAACAGTTTCTTCTCCATCCATCTTGCCCCTCACAACATGCCATGTCAGAATGGTGTCACAAAAGGGACTCTGGTATGTATGCCAACCGATCATTATTATTCTGAAGTTAGGGCACATGATATTAATTGATACAAATATCATGCGGTACAATGGATATAAACATTAGCACAGAGCTGATAGTTATATCAGATGGAACCCTGCAAATAAAGCATCATCAATTATTTTGTTTGTTTAATCAACAACTTCACCAAACACAAAAACATTCCTAACTGGACATAAATACATTTAGGCAACAAGGCAAAGAACGTGAAGAGTCGATCCAGGAAACCTTTTAATTCTGAGCATGATTTCCAAACCAGCCTTATTTCTCCTCCACCTTTACTGGTCCCACATCCCCTTTCTCTTGCCCCTTCTCCGAACCTTGTTCAATATCCTTTGGCTCAGGGAATTCCACAGCCCCAGCTGCACGAGCTAATTCGAACTTCCGACCTCTCTTCTCAGGGCCAAATGCAGTTGTCACAGCAATACCCAAAGCAATGATTGCCGTGGCAACGGCCATAGTTGGTCCGTACGCGGGAGCTGGCCTGCCATTGTCACCTTTGATGCTGATAGATTCTGCAATGGCGTTGACAATCTGAGCCGAGGGGGATGATATCATGTTGCCGAGTTGATAAGTGATACCCGGAAAACTAGAGCGGAATGCGGGTGGAGATAGCTCATTGAGGTGGATTGGGATAATACCCCAAGCGCCTTGCACAAAGAATTGCAAAAAGAAGCCTGTTACTGAAAGACTGCGTTCTCCGTGAGGTAGAATCCAGGCTGGGATCAAAACGCCGCTCATGAGAGCAGCAACAACGATTGATCGACGACGGCCAAACCACTGAGAGACGTATCCAATTATTGTGCCACCCACGCAGGCTCCGGTTTTCATAAGGATACTAGCACGACTAGCTGCGGAGTTGTTTAACGCCTTTTGAGTGAGCATGAAGGTCGTGTAACTGTCCTGCGAGGTGTGACTATAATAGTTGAACCAAGTCATCAGGATAATGCAATAGACAACAATACGCCACTCATCTTTCAGCATCTGCCTCGTATCCGCCCAGAACGCACTAGCGGTAAGGCCTTTCTTCCCGGCTTTCCTCGCTTCAAGGAATTGCTTCGATTCAGGGAGGAATACGCGAATGACACCGGCAAGAAACGAGAGGCCAGCACCAATCCAGAATACTATCTTCCAGGACTCGACCCTTCCTCCAACACCAAGGTTCGCACAGGCTGCAAAAATATATCCCATCGAGTATCCCTGCTGCAAAATTCCAGACATAAGACCACGGGCCTGGACCGGACAGTTCTCCAGGGCCATCGCGATGGCGTTTCCGTACACGCCACCCATGAAGAGGCCGAACAAGCTTCGCACGGCCAGGAACTGCGAAAATGTCGCGCTGTAGATGGTTGCAATCTGAAGTAGTCCTAGGACCAACATGTTGAACACCATCGGCCACTTTCGTCCCCATCGATCACCGGCCATACCAAAAACCGCAGCGCCAACGGAGCGAAGAAGGAGAGTGAGGGTGATCGCGGTAGAGATTGATGTCTTCGACTGATGATAGTACTTGGACAGTTTGACGGTCTGGATCGACAGGGCGTGGAAGTCAAAAGCGTCGGCGAGCCAGGCGAATAGCCCGACTAGGAAATAAAGCCAGTCCCTAGCGGAGAGCTGGGCGGCCATACTGATGGGATTTTGAAGGGGTTCGGGCGCTTGCCATTCGGTGTGTTTTTCGCCCAGTTCGTTAACGACTTCAACGCGCATTTCCCACCTGAAGAGGTCGCCCCAGCACTGTTTGGCCGTGGCCAAGGTGCCTTTGGCGATAGGCGCTGCAGGCCGAGTACCTGACATTTTGTGATATGATGGCAGAGAAGGGTCAGTAACTTAGGGAACCAGCAGTCACTCTTGTAAGTAAGGAATGATCAACTGAGAAAGCAGAGACCCAGAGTCGAACAAAAGAGGCTTGCAGCACAGTCGCGGGGGGGCGCTTTCGCTATTTTAAACGCTCAGGATGTATGCCTGGAGGTCTGTACCACGGAACGTAACGTGCGACCCCAGAGATCGGCGCATCATGGTGTTGAAATCCTGACGACATGGGCGAGTTCCTGTTGTCCGTGGTCCACACAACGCCCGGATTGCCATCGAACAGGCCGCCGGGGAGAAAGCGCGAGCAATCAGCGCCAGGCGATCAGCGAACCTTCCTTCTGACTCGCATCGGTCTTCTGCGGAATTCTCATGGTAACGCTGCCAAACGGGCCCAGGTTATCGTGGCCTGAGACTCGCTGGCAGCCTGCACGATAAGTCACCACAGGCAATGAGCAGGTGTACATCTAGAATGGCAATATTGAATCCATGGGTATAAAAGGTGGTGTGCATCTCGGGACTAGTCCTTACAGTTAATATCCCAAACTGAAAATACTCCATAGTAGTCGAGCGGTCATCAGCTCACATCATGTCACTAACCATGTCAGTTACATATGCATGGTGCAGTGATAATCATCGTCCAGGCCTCCGCGCTAAGGAGCTTTGGTGGGAAGTTTGGCGATCTCCTTCTCCCGCCAAGAGACGCGCCACAAAAGGCGTTGCTTCGAGTGCTTATCCTCTTGGCGCGGGGAGAAGATGCGGAGGAGTTCAGCGGATTATTCCCCTACACACGCCGTTCTTCTCATTCAGCTCGAAGCTCTGCTGATATGCGTGCTGCAGACGGGTCACAGCTCAATGTCAACGTGGGCCGATGGGCTTTCAAATATTCTAGGCCATCGGGAGCCCGACTGCGAAGGAGGGACGCCCACAACAGCTAATAATAATCCTCCAGGGGAATATGTCAACCGAACGCTCAATCTTTCTCTCCAGTTGCATCCCTTTGACTTCCGGGCACGTACCCCTCTTACGAGTATTGGGGAGATACATCGCTGTACAGACTTACTGCCGGAGGCAAGTAAATGAACCAGTGTCTTCTCCACGCCGAGCAACTGTTCCCCAACGGAATATAAGTACCGAGTACCCTGTACCCATATTTTTCCGCTCTCAGGTAGCATTGATGTTCACTCACTCTCCATATCCGACTCCATGGCTAAAGCTTACGACCCATTGGACTGTAGGGTTCTCTTCTCCATAAGGAAGCCAAACACTTGGTTGAACCGAGATATAAGAATATTTACGCCATGTGGTTCTGAGCTACATGCAATTTCAACCAAAGAACCTCAGTCCTGAATGATAAATCAAAAGACCAGCAACCATCCAATAGATTTTGGACCTACGCTAGTTTTATTGCTCAACCTATCCTTTGCAGGCCATGACAAAGGCGCAGAAATAGTGAAAAAAAAGCAACCCTTCCCCGAGGTGACTGGACACCGCTGAAGAGAAATGAGACTCGACAGCAGCATTGCAGTGAGCTATAGACGTCGAACAGCATAAATTGAATGGTAAAGGCCGGACGGCGAACTAAACGTTTATTTAGCTGTCGTTTTATGGGCTCCAGCCTTCTAGCGCCGCCGATTCATGTCAGGGGGGGCACCGTGATTCCAGACGTCGACGAGAACACTATAAACAGGTGTTAATTTGGTTGGACAACTAACATCCAATTGAGGGAAGGTAAGAATACCTTTGCGTTCTATCCTTGTACTCCTCATCATTCAACTCCTTTACCTCGACAGTCACTCCATCCCGCGACCACGTTACATTGTTTTTCTCCATTTTCTTCTTTGTAGCCTTCTTAACATCCATAACTATATTATATATTGCGATGGCGGCAAGCCCGAGAATCGCAAGGACGATGAAAAGCATAGCGAGCGGAACCAAACTGGACATGAGACTCATGATGAAGCGTCAGGCCCTTGGCGGAAATTGAACCCAAATCTCCGAAGCAAGAAAAAGACGGGAGCCGCAAGGCCTCGAACTAATTTTGATAACCCTGGCCTCCTGGAGCAGGTCCAAATGTTGTTGGATGTCGTGCGGGACGAGAATGTGGTAAGACCCGTCAGTGGGAGAGAAATAGTCGCAACGTTGAGGTGTTCACCAGGTGATGCAAAAGAGAGCTTCTGAAGGTGTCTGAAAGATCTGCCTGCGAGAATAAAACTGCGCGGAAAAATCAGTCAAGGCAGTTTCTGCTTGGCTAGCAAAGCGTCATGTGGGGTAAATCCGAACTCACTGTGACACAAGGCAAACTATTGTTTGTTTTTTAGAAACACTATGAGATGAAAAAGAGAACTGGGCTTTGTCTCTGATATGGACATATCAGAAAAGAAGAGAAAAGGTGCACATGAGTGCGAGGTGCTCATGTGCTCTGGGGAAGTCTCGGCAGGAAGCACTAGTTAGCCATACCAGCACTGTGCGGTTCGCGATACGGGCATAGCATTGTGATGGAATCCCCTTGCTCTTCACCCTGGCTTGGCACCTGCAGGGCTGAAAGCTAGTGAATCCGAACTCGTCAAGGGGAGCAGCAATCAATTTTCATCGTTGATCCCTAGCCTTGATTCCGTACCAAGCACAGAGCATAGTACGCAATTGAACTGAAATGGGGCATTTTTATCGAATTATTTCAAACGCAACAGGGCGACAAAAGGCAGAGAGATAAACAGCTCAGCGCTCAATGCCTCATTGCAGTCGCAATTTCCGAACACGGGGCTGATTGCCGAGGGTGTTTCCACTTTCGATGTTTTCCAGCCACACAAACATCGAGCTTGAGCCACAAGCGTGCCACAATCTTACGTATTCATTCCTTGGCACAGAAGGCTTGTTTTCTGCTTTGACGCTGCATCTTCATTCAGGTATCAAGAGCCATGGGTCAACCATCAAATGCGCCGGGTTCCCAGAGCCTGGCTTCCTTGATCTCTGCCGCTGGCAACAGAAAACGTCATCCCCCTTTCTCCCATAGTTATACACCATTCCTCCTAGCCATCTTCTTCAAAAGCAGCCGTCCAGCGCATCGACAACTTCTTTCCCCACTGCCAGAACCTCTCCTGTTCCTTACCTCCCCCCACTCTACAATGGCAATCTGGATCCCCTTCCCCATCGTCTGCTTCCAATGCGGCACCGACCAGAATCCATGTCGATGTAAAGTCGTCGGACCAACGCTCGGTATGTTCCCCCTTCCCCCTTTCCTCCCCTTTTTCTTTTTGGGGCCGTACTTTTACCCGGCACCTATGCATCAAAACACAAAACATGATCAAAGAGGAATAAACACCAAAGGCAATTATATAAATAAAAAAAGGCTTCGCGTTATCAATCGTCTCTGCCGTAATATGCTATCCGGCCTCGATCTTCTGCGGCTGCTGGGCGACAAAGACAGGCGCGCGGTAAGTGTTCTCCTAGAAGAATGATAGACTTTTATGAAAAAAAAAAAAAGGAAAAATGGGCATAAAAGGTGATATAGTTGATGAATCTATACCAATCTATCATTGATCGCGACGGTCGCTGTATAGGGTCTTGCAATTCCCAGTTGAACTGAACGGGATTGTCAATCAATCCATTCCATTTTAGAATCGCGAGACATGGCTATCTGATGGCTGTGGGATTGTCGAAAAGTGCATACGGGCGTTGGTAATATCAGGGGGCATAGTAACTAAATTGAGGTTGGCGAATCCATTGTCCTATTAACTATTTTTAAATACAACATGACATTATCATCCTGGAACTGAGAAGCCACATACATTAAGACATCAACTAAAAGAGCAATATGGAGTACACGGAAGCATGAGGGGAATCTGGTGCAGTAAAAACACAAGCGCAAATCCTCCGCGAGCCAAATTTGTCCCGGCAAACCCCATATCCCAAAAAAAGAATGCATATGTACGCGATCAGATGTGACGTTTGTTGCAAAGGCGTAAAAAAGCGCTGCCCTGACGTCCTAGATCAAATAAAGGACAAGCTGGTGCAATTTGCGCCGGAATTTCCATCCGCAAAGAAGGAAACGACCCGAGACTAGGCGTTTTCGAATAGATTACTTTAATTTTTCCTTCAATTTGGAGAAGAATCCGCTCACTCGATTCTTCTTTTTCTTGTCTTTTGGAGTTTCCGTCTGCTTCGTGGTTGATGGTTGCTGGGCTTGGGTCGTAGAAGGTTGCGGCTGAGCCTGCGTTGGCCCCGTGGTCTTGGGAACGGTTGTTTCTGTAGGACCGGTGGTCACAGTTGGCTGCGGAGGCGCGGCCGCTGTATAACCTTCGGCGGGCTCCTGGGTCCTTGGCGACACATCTCCACCTTTTGCCAGGGGTTGCGTTGCAGCAGGAGCCTTGCTAGATGTTGCTGCAGTGACCACGGGTGCAGGTTCACCAGCAGAATCGTCTCTCTTGACGTCCTGCAGCAATTCTTGTTCGACCTCTTTCTTCTCCTTGATGGCTTCTTCGTAACCCGCAGCTTCAGCGTCCCTGTGAGCATCGCTAAGGGACCTTTTGACCACCTCCGGGACCTCGGGAGCCGGCTCATGAGGATTACCTGGTGCAGTTGATTTGGACTTTTCTAGAGGAACATTGGCGGCTAATGCAGCGGTGGTCGAAGTAGGAGCAGCGGACTGAATTATGGGGGCGCCGCCGGTTACTGGTGGGTTGACTTGCACAGGCTGGGTGCCAATGGATCCTCGCGCTGATGCTAAAGCCGCCATAGAAGGGTCGCTGGCATCTTTCTCATATCCAGCTTTGTCGGTTGTAACTCCAGAGTTAATCGACTTATCAGGATTGGGTACTTTCTCGCCCGGCTGCAAATGAATCGGATTACCAATACCATCTGTGGCTGGTAGAGGATTGATTGATACTTGCTCGTCCATTCCCGGGGTCTGCCCGCCTGGCGTCTCCGGGAATCCGCCGGGCGTATCTCTCTTGGGCTCCAGCGGGACGTTTTTGGCAAGCTGTGCGGTGGTAGACTCAGGGCCAAGAGTCGACATGAAGGGGACTGGGCCAGAAGCTTCAGACTGCGATACCTTCCTTGGTGCCGATTCAGTTGCGTTATTGGTTTCTTTGGGGATGTTCCCAGCGATGCCCGCTGTTGTGGATTCCGGTGTTATCCCAGACATGGCAGTGGTTCCTCCTGTTCCCGCGATCGCGTTGGTTGAAGCGGAGGTTGAGGGATGTAAGGGTTTTACTATTTCGGGTTGTAGAACGTTGTTTATATTATGGCTACCGTCGTCCTCTTGAGGGGCAGAAGGGTCTATCGTCCAATTACCGTCGACAATGAACTGCAGACAAACAGCGTGTAAGTCAAAGTTTCGCGATCAAGAGATGAGAAGCAATAATAAGCCAAAGCAAAGCGTAGTATGAATCAAGAGTGCAAATGCCAATGCTAGAAGCGCGACGATTTTTTCTCGGGATGACAGAGTCGAGCGGGCTGGAGTTGTTTTAAACCAGAATCAACCGCGGAAGCGGAAGTTTGGTTATGACGTAAGGGACCGAACGGGCCCAGGGGGTACGAGGGCAGGACTTGGCAAACCATGCTGGCGCTGCATGGATGGCCGTCACTCGCAGGTACCCTGTGTAGTTGTCATCACATCCAGGCCTTTGCAGACAAGGGGCCTGAAGGGCTGGAAGGAGCGCAGCGGGTTTAAACAGAAACCAGCACGCATCCGATGGCATCAAGTGCAGCTGGTTGTTGTGGCCTGTCTTCGCTGCATCCTCAATGGGCTGATTCAACCCGAGTTTTCTCGCTAGCCAAAACTCAAAGGCATCATATGATAGACCCCCTCTTTCGAGAACGTGCGAAAAACACGCGAAAGCACAGAAAAAATATAGCGGGGCCAAGTGCTAGGAAAGCGGTGAACTCAATCAGTTGGCCGTACCTTGTATAGTACCCTCTCGTTGGTTTCTGGAAGCTCAACGTCCTTTCGGAAATGGCCCTCTGCGGATTTCTCTAACTTGACGCTCCGGCTCCAGTTATCAAAAGTTCCCGTAACGTAAACCTCGTGCGCTGGGTGTAACCTAAATCAATAGTAAAGATTCCTGTTAGCTCTGGATCCTTGACCTTTGAGACATGCAAAAGGGCGCAGGGGGCATTTGAGGGCTGCTTCAAAGCAGAAGAAAGAAAGCTCCAAGTCGAGAACTCAGCACACAGTGTAGTTCTTAGTTGACCTGAATCGTTTCGCTCTCTTCCCAGCATTCGCAAATAGCCTTTGATGCCAGTTTCAGGCCGGTTGACGCACCATTGAAATGTATACCGCCCCATGTTCAATCTTGCACTGGAGAAGAATGGTTCCGAGCACACTCCTCCCCCCCTGGGCCTTAATGCGTGGGCGCGAAAAAACCGAAAGAATGAGCCGCGAAGCTGGACAGACCTTTGTCGGAGAATCGTGGCGTATCGATGAAGAACGCGCTGCGATTGATGAAATGCGACGAAAGAAAGCTTGCGCCCACTCTGTCCTGTTCGACGGAGGGATTTCGGGAGGCAGCGGACTTGGTCAGACTGGATTAGGTTTGGGCTGCCGCCCCTGACAGAATTGTTGTCAATTGGAGGGTTGAACAGAGATAAGTGCCAATATATGCCCGTGTGGGAATTGCGGTGACAAGATAAAATCCTTGCGCGCAGACCTGTTGGGAGGCAAGTTCTGCGAGTGGAGCTGGCTGGGATCGCAAACCAAGTTCGTCCACGAATTGAGAACTTCCCGCCCCCGTTTTATCAGAAAAGTGTAGCTTATTCCAGCGGGAATATAATTGTAGAATGCTTGATCAAAGCAAAAATATCTAGGTGCCCACTGCCTACCAAGCTTTCTTATTAAAGCGAATATCCAGGAAGGTTGCTACCGGAGCTAGAATGTGCTGTGGGCTGGAGGGTCATAGCTTCTGCCACCGGAACATCCTCGACTGCTGGGCCGAAGGTGCGCTGAACAAGTCAACTCGTCATTAACTGATGGATGATGCAGCATCCCGCACTCCGTATTACAGAGTACTTGGTTGTCCGCCGAAGTTGACCTTATGCAAAGGTCAATTGAAACCCATCGCAACCTGGCGCAATAGACTTTGACTTGCAGAATCTGAATCTCTTGTTACCCCGCACGCATGAATGTAGCACAGAATCAACACCTGGACGAGAAGCTCGGGAATCAGATGGTTTGCGTAGCTATGTTAGATATTCAACTAGATACGGCGTTGTTACTCTGTAACTAACTAACCAATTCTTCTAGACCTCGAACAGCTCCTTGAGCCGCCGTGAACTCCCCACACAGGCACGGAGTCAGCCTTGACTTTGAACACACTTCCTTCATTGGGGTCGTAGCTCACAACTCGGCCATATCTGCGGCCCCAACCATGCCACCAAAAACCAAGCCCAAAGCCTCGAACCAAAAGTCCAAGTTCATTTCGGAAACCGATAAACAGCAACCACCGCCCAACTGGCCTCCCCTCAAGCCCTTGATTCCGCCCTCCGACCTCTGGCTTGAGACCGTCCTCCCGGATCAGATCTATGTCATCAGAAATTTCCTCACGTCCACTCTGTGCAAGAATTATGTGTCTTTCCTGTCCACCCTGCCATTGGTCACGACACCGGGCAGGCCAAAGAAAGGAGAGGCGGTGAGAGTGAATGACCGGTTTCAGATCGACGACAGCGCGTTTGCGGAAAGGCTGTGGAAGGAGACAGCATTGGACCAAGTGCTACTGGGCGCGGTGGGTGCGGAGAAGGAAGATTTATGGGGCGGAAATGTTGTGGGATTGAATCCTAATATCAGGGTGTATAGGTATACCAAGGGACAATTCTTTGGACAACACTGTGGGTATCTCTGCGTTCTTCTTGTATTTCTAGGGGGAATACGAATGCTAAAGTCAAGGTTCAATGCAGACGATGACTCCGTAACGGTCCGCCTTCCCTCGTCAGAGGGCCAGGCTATGCAGGGAAAGACGACGTGGACGCTTTTGATCTATTTGACCACCTGCACAGGCGGAGAAACCGTGTTTTATCCAGAGCCAGTGATTTCGTCAAAGACGAACGGCCCAAAATCAAAAGCCTCGAAAGATAATAATGCTCATATGGACCCAATTGTGGCGGAGTTAGAAGTCGGTATGGCTCTACTGCATCGGCATGGTG